AGGTGTTTAAGTAGACACTGGATGAACAGGACACTCGTTGAGTAGCGACATGCTTATATTGGTTGTAGCGCCAGAAGACATGTCCAGTCCAGATAGGGAATTGAGGTTGCTCTAATTTACCAACAAAACGTGATTCCGTGCCATTTTGAAAATATACTTATAGGGAAAGGAGAGATGTCTCAAGATAACCAGTGAATTCTGTATCAGTCGTTTTCTTGAAAGATTAAAGGTAATAACAAACACTTCCAAAGCTTGAGAAAATGAATATATCCAAAACACAGTAAAGTTGATAATACTCAACTTCGCAGTTATTAGACGGTTAAAGAATTTCAGTCCCTCTCGTGACAAGTAACAATATTTGTATACAAAATGACATTAAACCGTTCCATCTGAGTTTTGTATGAAGAAAGTTACTGGAAATGCAGAGCCTTTAATTCCGAAATATTATAGAACATTAAGTTTTCTGTGCCAAAAGTGGATAACCAGTCACTGACAGTTGATATGTTGGAAGGCGTTAAGCACTGGTAAATTTCCAATACTAATGATTTATGTGGATGTCAGGGATCTGCTTGAGTTGGACGAGAATAGTATGGCTTCGTAGATCGAGTTGAGTTTCTCGTACCTATGAGTACCCCTCGTTCTACCGATGAACGAAACCAGACTAGTAGTAGATAGGTCCCTATTTTGAACTCCTAGAGAGTGTGGTGAAGCGCGAGGTCACCTTTTCAAACACATAATGCTTTTCAACATTCAATGTAAAATAGTAGGAAATATAGTCCCTGTGCAAATAAGGAAGTGAATGAGCACTTGAGCTTTAGTGTTCTGACATTTACCTGGGCATTTGCAGTCATCTCTTAACCAGTCAACCCATATTGTTACAAAGTCACACTTTGCGATCAACATTTAACACGGTTCACTCTCATGTGATATCCATGTGATCTGGCTACTTTGATGATCGTATAGAACAAACATGCTGTCACTGAAGAAATTCATTGGAAAGAACGTGTTAGAGGAGATGGTCGTTTACAACATCTGCCAGTCAATGGCATACGCATGGTTGGTCCGTGTTAGTCATTCTCAACCTAGGTGATGTTTATCAGACTGCCCAGAGATTAATGCGTAGCAGAATATCATCAATTTATTTCTTAAGGCTTAGTATATTATTCGTCCTGATACCGTCACTAAATAAAACCCAACGGTGAATAAATTTCAGAAAATAATACGAAACGTTGACCAAAGTTTGCCATTGTACAACGCAGATCATTTGACTCCAAGCAGATAAAGTGAGTACGAGTAGCAATCAGAATGCAAGTAAATGAAAACAAGCGAATACAGAGGCGACTTTATACTAGTACAAATTGATAAAATTTAAGAATATATATATATATATATATCATCAAACGATTTAAGCGACTAATATCCAAGCTAGTAAGAGGGATATGTGTGTAAACTGTAACACAAGGTCATGCATGCATGTTCATACAGGCATAATAATGACAGATTAATTGTTACTATTTCAGCAACACTGTTAAGCAAGTTGTTTTAAGGGCTTGAAAAAATTAAACGTCAACAGACCTAAGCGTATGTGTGAAGCGGTAATACATCCTCTCTGTAAATCAAGACCTAAAAAATGTATGTATCTACAAATAGTATTAAACTGGAAAAAATTGTCTTGATATGCAGAAAATATTGGGTTATTCAAATTAACGTGCAGGATAGAACTATCATGTAAGCTAATATTTGTTCTTGTATGTCCGAGCACGCGTGTGCACGTCAGGCCAGATTAAATAACGATAAAGGATCAAAATCATATGGCAGAGTTTCTAAAAGATCATATATATAAGCATAAAAGTATACGAAATATGATGAATTTCATGATAAACAATGTAAGATTTACAATGCGCTCGTGTAAAACTAAGAGGAAGAAAAATCACCGATATTAAAAACAGTGGGCGAAAATTTTAATTCCAAATCGTGGTCATGCACCGTTTCGACCATTTGGCTCTTTGACCACAAACCATCGTTACTGGAGTATCCCCTCTCTTCTTAATCTCTATCGTTAACGACTGAAACTTGCGTCTTAATGATGTGACGGTTTCTGAAGGATATGTGTTCGTCGATTGATGATCACTTTCAATGAAGGCTGATTTCACTCTGTTGATACTAATTGGGTCAGTTTTTCCAGCTTTTTCTATATTTACCATTTTATCATCGCTCCCAACCAATTTAAATGAACCGTCATAATTCGGCTGCAGAGAAGGTTGTATATTATCTCTTCTGATGAACACGTGAATGACATTATTGCAGTTCCTACAGTATATATACTTGTTGTCACTTTAGTCTAGGCAGTGTTACTTCCTACTTGTTCGTGTGCTACTTCATACGTTATACGTAGTTAACCACATCACTCGCAGTACTTTTAATTGGAGCAAAAAGTTCTACGGGTAAACATAAAGTAGTTCCATAGACCAACTCTTTAGGACAACGTCCGATATCCTACTTAATTGATGTTCTCAAACGTATCATGACCAGAGGAGGCTTATTGGCCCAATCATTGTTGACAAGGATGGTCCCGAGAGAAGCTTTTAATTACCGATACAGTTGCTTAACCATGCCATTCGCCATAAGGTGGCAAGATGTCGTGCGAATATATTTAATTACCATAAGTTCTGTGAGCTGCTAGAATAGGGGACTTTTGATCCCAGCTCCTCTATCTGTTGTAGTATTAGCTGGCACTCCATAACATTGACGGTCTATAGACATATCACTTGTGTTATTATTTTACACTACCCAACTGAACTTCAAACAACAAAGAAGTTTTGTTATTGGATCTTAACCATCTTAATTCAACACCCATCTTTTTGCAGTTCCGCCAGAGCGTGACAAGCGATTTCGTCTGTAGTGTGTGTTTTATCATTGTTCTAGATAACGTGTCCTATATTTTGTTATCACCGTCTTTAATATGTTTTACACTGGGCGAATTGAAAATTCTGTATTAAATTTCCCTTGGTGAATAATTGTCTTGTTTGGCATTTAATACTTGCGCAACAGGTTTATGATCTGTTTACACAATAGAGATTGTACCTTCTAACGTGTGTCAGAAATGCTTTATTGACATGTAAATTGCTGGCAATTCTCTTTCCAATGTACTTTTTCTCGTCCTAGTAGGGTTCAATCTCTTTGAAAAAAATGAAAGCAGTTCTAATGTGCTATATACTGTAGCGGTAAATAAATCCCCAAAATAAATAGCTCTAAGTTTTCGACATTGGATGCTGACCACAGTTTTAACGGACTCATCTAGCTGAAGGCGCTTGGTCATGCATCCGCACCAGATCACGTGTGGGAACGCCGTGCTCAACATCTGCCGCAATCGCTAGCCAGATTAGATCAGACGATCCTCAATATATTGATAGCTTATCAAATATATCTTCGAACCTTCTCGATTCTGTCTTTTGATTTTACTTGGTAGGTACGCCTCATATTAGGTGTTACTGGTTAAAGGGTAGTCAAACTCCGAATACCTGTGGCATCTTTAATTCCAAAGGCTGAAATGCGGTTCTCACTGCCACGTTTGGTGGCCAATGGTGTTTTTCTCTTGCATCGAATCAGCATCACCTTTACGTTTATAGCTCACTTGGGGTCCCGAAATGACTGTATAATCTCTGTTGACAGATAAAATGCGCAGTCATGTCCTCACAAGGCGCTTGTCGGTGATTGCGATATTTTCAAACAGTTCGCGCTAAGTAGTTTACAATAGTCACAATTTCTTTCGTCATTCGGGTAACGTATGGTCGTGGATAGCAGTAAATTCTGCCGGAACTGATGTGGTACCTCGAGAAGTTACCTTTTGACCTATGAATTAGAGGGATTCTCTTCCGAACCCATATATTTCAACGCGCACAAAGATAATACGTTTACGAAGTTTCCTGAATAACTATCGCACTTGCTGTAGCTGATCACCCCCGTGGCTCTGGATGCTGGCAAATCGCCGATATAAGCATGTACTGCCATGCCTTTGGTGACACGGTCAATAAATCACTGAAAAGTTTGTGCTCTATTAGACAATCCGAAGGGCTAAAATTTATACAAACCGAGAGGTATTGTTAATGCTATTTTTGACATATCTTAAGAGGCGATGGAAATATGATCATAGGGTCTAACCAGGTCAGTCTTCGAAAAATTAGTGGCACCTTCCATACCATTGGCAAAGTTGTGGGTGTGCGTTATCGGATATCTATCAACTATTGTTTTGTTGTTAAAAGCTCGATAATCCTCACAAGTCCTGATTTACTCGTTCCTTCAAGACTATGTGCAATGGTGACATCCAAGGGCTGCTAGAAGGCCTTAAAGAGCACCATGTATCCAGAGTTTGACAACGCTTTAACCAGTAATACCTTTACAACCAAAGTATCCAAACGCAGTTAAATCGGAAGTGATGACTGAAGGAGTTGGAAGATATTTTAGATAGACTATCGATATATAGAGAAGTGATCACTCTAAGCTGGCTAGCGGTTTCAGATGTATAGGTTGGCATACCCACTCGTGATCTGTTGAGGATCAGTAGCTAAGCGCCTTCAGCTGGGTAAATCTAGCAAAACTAATGCGGTCAGCACCAAGATGTGGAAAACTTACAGAGGTATTGATTTTATTGACCGCTATAGCATTAAAATCCATAGCTCCATTAATCCATCAAATTCCGTTTGGCTACTCTTAATCTTTTCGGGTCTAACCTTCGTAGATCTGCAATAGCTGGTGGCCACTGTTTTCATAATTTCTGTTTTCCTGAGAAAAATAAATTTACTCGTACTCAAGACGCACAAACGAAAAATAACGGTTGAATTCAATGTGATCAGTTTAGTTTGATGGCTAAACTGCTGTCATTGATTGCTAGACACTTCCCAATACTTGAAGCTGTACTTAAGTACTGAGGTGAGAGTTCAAAGCAATCGATTAGTTTATATTCCTTCGCCACTAAAATATTGGACATTTGATTTTGGATATTCGTTTGTATGGATCCACCTCAGTCAGTTGTTCACCAGGTGTTAGTTTTCGGTCGCTGATGCTGTTCATTTTCTTACTGTTGGTAGTACCTGTTCTAGGCTTGAAAAACACCAATGTGACTCGTACGATACGCTTTAAAGGAAACATCGTGAAGATACACCATGATATTCTACTGAGTGAAACACCTGCTAAGTATCAAATTGTCATTGAAGAAAGGGAATGGAAACATCTTGCCTTCATCGGTGCATCGGTAATTAGGATTATTTTCATACATTAATGCTTCAGTGTGGAGACCTAAAGTCATCACGAAAAGTCCCTGTAAAGCCAACAACCGGGATGCCTCATACCTACACTTTAGATCTTGGAAAACCGTCGACCGAACAAATTCATTTGTTTGTGGACTTTGTATTAACCGAATTGTTAGAACCAAGACCTGCTGAGATTTATCAAGCTGATAAGCAGTCCGTCAAGTTTAATGGCAATGCTTACTTTTATTCCCCGTATCTGACTGACAGTCAGCTAACGCACATTCACTTGCCAAAGGGTCAACTTCTATCTCACACTGCTACGTCAATCCCGCCCGTCATAAATGGAAATAACTTAGTCTATGGTACTTACGAAAACCGTCCAGCCTTCTCATTGGTGAGTTTTTATTATCACTAATAAGTTGTTAGGAACCACTTGTCCTACATTTCGAGTATTACGTTCCATTCCTAACGGTCACTGATATGACTCGTCTCATCGAAGTATCGCATTGGGGAAATATTGCTGTTGAAGAGACGCTTGAAATCGTGAACACGGGTGCGAAGTTACGTGGTTCGTTTTCTCGTTTAGATTTCGATTATGGAGTCGGACAACCGGCAGCAGTCAACTCTCTCAAGACGGTTCTACCGCCGTCTGCAAAAGACATTTACTATCGTGATGAGATTGGCAATATAAGCACAAGCACAGTCAAAAACTCGCTAGATTCCATTGAAGTGACTCTCGTTCCGCGCTTCCCGTTGATGGGTGGATGGAAAACGCGCTACACAATAGGATACAACATCCCAGCCTATGAGTTCCTCTATCGCAGTGGTAAGTTTGTTGCACATATGCGTAGATATTTCAAGTGGATTATTTATTTAAGCACAAATATTGGTTCAAAGGGGCACAAATACATTTGCGCCACAAGTTACATGGTTTGCGTGTGTGCTGGGCTACTGCCAGGGTACCCAGACCGGATTAGGTGGTTTGAATAGGGGGATTATGAGTGAGACTATAATTTGTGGACGATCTTTGAGCTAAGCTAGGCTGACGCTGAGAGTGTCCACCTTATATCTAGGACCAAATAAAGGTTCTAAACCTATATGAGGAATTGGAATCATGTTTTGCAGTTGATGATTAAGGTTAGGAATTAGATCCTGGGTTTTTATCACGAACTGACATCAGCTATAATGCCAAAGCTATTTAACCGAATTGGATGAGTGAATTTCGCGCCGATATCCGAGGTCTATTATCTTATACCTCATTGGTTTGTCCATAAATTATAGTCCCGCCGGATTATGCAAGTTTGGTTGCTCTTACCAGAGCTACCAGCCTAAATAATCCTCTTTCCCAAGAGATAAGCTAAATTTATACAAACATCAATATAATTTTATTAAAGCAATCGTATCTGCTATTATGTCCGTTATTAGAGTCTGGTTTATTCCGTGGATGACTGCACAATAATTTAATTACACATTTCAAACTGGCTTCTAATTGTCTGATTACTTTCTATAGGTTCTAAGTTTGTTCTTGTAATGCCATTCATTGACCATGTTTACAAAAATCAATTCATTCGCAACTTGACACTGAAAATTGTTCTTCCGGAGACCTCTGACGATATTCAGTTCGAAACACCTTTCCCAGTTCATGAACAGCATTTCGAAAATATGAAAACATATTTAGACACATCAGGCCGAACCACTATTGTCTGCAAAGCTGCAAATCTTGTCGATGAGCACATCCAAGATTTCAAGGTAAGAACTGTCTTATTATGTGTGTGTATATATGGGGACAGTTCTCCTTTTCTCACGAGTAATGATGTTCGCCAAATGAGTATTTGTATTTATTTATTTATTTAAACACAAACGTTGGTACCAGGAGGCACTAAATATATGCACCATAAATTAAATATTTTGTGTGGGTGCTCGGATACTCTCTGGGCACCCAAGCCGGGGCAAGTGGTTTCCTCAGGGGGCCACTCCACGAGCCTTTGACCTAAAGGTCTAATTTAAAAGGCAATAAAGCAACGTCAGTAGATGCAGTCCCATGGTCACCAATGCCTTAAACTAGGTTTATAAGCCTTTTATCTCTTCAGGATCCCGGAACCCATGTGGACCATTGGTTTGGGATCAGGGTTTTCCAACTCCCCTAGATGGATCCTCCACCAACTCAGTTAAAACACCGGACATTCGCTTTTCATCTCAATTTCGTAAACAGTAGTGCCTCAAAAAGACAATGAGTAGGAGTTCCCTGGCGGTGATTGTATGCACGTTGCCACTTGAAAGTATTTAGATAGGGGAAGCTGACTCTCCCCACTCTCGGCCGTACCTGGGACTTAGGGGGCTCTACAAGTGAGTGCAAATGTATGTAGTTCCTATATTATTGTTATCGTTTCCTTTACATCTTAGCTGTATTTTTGTTTGGGCTGGATGATTTGGACAAAGTTTTCATTTTCATTCCAGACGTATTTTGAAGTAATAGTGATTTACCTAGATAAGAGTTCTTAAGATTTCTATACACCATAATAGCGATCAGACAGCAATTAAAGTGTTGTTTGACCGACATCCTGGGTCGTGACGGAGATTGGTAATTTAAGTTTTACTCGTAGTTATACTTGATTGTCTAACGTGTCAAATGATTCTGCATTGACTACTAAAAAAACATTTTCAAACCAAGTTAGCACTGTACAATGTAATCCCTAGATTTTACAGACTTGAATTCTTGACAATTTACTTGTAGTCACTCTCGGACTATCCTAAATCAGTGTATTAAAGCTTAGTTATCTCGTATGCGTCAAACCAAAAACTATTGGGTGTGCTTGAACTGTGTCGTTAATTGTACAATAATTTTTCAGCCATTTTATAAAAACCTAATGAGATATTTTTAATACCTAGGTGAATTATCGTTTCTTTCTGCCAATGATCCTCCGAGAACCTATAATGCTGGTTTTAGCGTTCTTATGTATATTCGGTGCTGTAATAATTTATGTCCGATTGGACTTTTCCATCTACAAGGTAATTTTCTTGGAAAATTTTTTGGCTCCCGTGTTGTGGTTATCCATTCAATAATTTAACAAGTACGCAAGTCTGAGACATCTTGTGTTTTTCTCGGCTAGTCATCTTAAGATCATAAACAAAGTAGTGCATGTGTGTAGATTGAGAATAAAGCAAATACAGATAGCAAGTCTTCACAAGTACTTTTCAAGTCTCAACGACCTTGTCCTAATGGAATCCACTTGCTGAGTATCTGATAAGTATTCAAAATGTAGAACCGAGCCACCGGCAAACTGCTTAATTTCTTTTGAGCATTCCCGATAGTAGCTATTACCTTGACTCAGTGGTCACTCAACTGAGCTATTTTGCCTACGCTCCCACTGATAAAGTTAAAGATGAATTCTATGGGTAGCTATCTAACCTTCAAAAAGCTAGACACTCGTAGTCATAATGGCAGCTGATTTTAATAATCAGTTTAACTAAACCGAAGGGCACTTGGGTGGATCTTACGGTGTTGTAGCTCAGTCAACAGATAATGACGGCCGTCTGTTGCTCAGATAACTGTCTATTTCTAACAAATAACTTCAAACATAAGGAGAAATAGCGTCTGGCGTGCCTAAGGGGGCAGGGGCTCGATTAAAGACTCCCACCTGGACTGCAGCACATATTTAGACTCAAATTATGCTCTAGTTCGAGCATGTATTTGTCTACATCTTGCTGGACGTAGAAAATCCACACTTAGAAAGCCCCTTCGAGTTCAACTTATGGTAAAAAGTCAGGAATATATTTTAGAGACAACTGAAGGAGTTGATCAACCATAAGTGATATACACCTCAAGATAGCTTGGAATGATATCCATAAAGTTTTGAAAGCAGCAGTGGTACCTACTGGTAACTTAAACGAAGGGTTATGAAGAATCTGGATTTCAGCAGCATCTAGCTGATGTTCAGAAACTTAGCCTTTCTAACTCTGAACACAATAAGGAGTGGAGGCGAAACACTTTAATTCAACTGACCTTCAACCGCACTTCCGTTACCCACTATCTCCAAGCAACGTGAGTGGCGAATTGGTGTAAATCGTCCAACTGTTATTGAGTTTGAAAAGGCCATACGTAATCCAAAGCATCAGGGCTTAGTAGACTAATTTCTGAGATTTTTAAGGTTGATAGTCCAGTTTTTAGCAACCGGATTAACTGGAATCTTAGCTAAGACTTGGGAACTAGACGCAATCTCATCCGATTTGTGTCAATCACTGGTTTTCCCAGTCTATAATAAAGAACAAAGATCCTCTTGTGACAATCATATAGGAATCAGTTTAACTAAAAGTATTGCTCTCAATAATACTGATGTCTGATTTGAGCTCGTAAATAGTAAACCCTAGATGACCAGACTCATAACACATCGTATACATGGTGATTCACTTGTTGACTTTGAGTGTGCAAATGATTTACTTCTGTTTAGTAAAGACGCTGGCAAAATGCAGTCTTTCGACCAGCAATTCAAGCATGTTTGGGATGCGGTTCTCTCCCTCTAAATGTAAAATGTTACTTCAGGATTGACTTGGGTCATCACCTGGATTGATGACAAAGAGTGAAGAGTTTGACCGTGTCGACTACTTCACTCATCTCGGTAGTCTCATCAGTATTGATGGTCTGGTGATTAACGAGATTTTAGCATAGATTCAGAAAGCTCGATTGGCTTTTACAAGATATCCGTCTTATAACTAGAGAGAGCGAGTTCGCTTCGTCCTATTTCATAGATCTGAGACATGGCCACTGGGGATAGAGGATATTCGTAGGTTACTGATATTCGATCATAGGTATCTACGATGCATTGCTCTTGTGTTTTGGGACCACGGAGTAGGCAATGCCTGGATTAGGAATAGGGTACTAGATAAGGATAGGGAATCTACTAAAGAGGTAGTAAGTCTACATCAATTTTATTAAACGTTTTCGCATCCTATGCAGAGTGCCCTTATATAGCCGTTATTACTGTAGCTGACCAAATTTCGACAAAATCCCAACAAGATAAGTCAACCAATAAAGTTTAGACTTACTGATCAACAATACACTTTGTATAGGTCCAATACCACTAAATTTATGAATTGTTCTCTGACTAGTCTTCCCTTTTACTTGTATTTTGTCTCTTGTCTTTATTTAGACTGTGATTGCCAGTATTTTCCATTGTTTTTGGTAGCCACTTAAAGCCATGGTCTATTGATAAGACAATTCATAGTTGTACACACTATTCATCGCCTTTTTTATAATTCTCAACTAGTAGCTGAACCTGAATTTGGCTACCTTATTAATATATGTACCGTTGTCGCTTTCGCAGATATTTTTGCGAATTATGAGTAAAACCAATAAACGCTTGTTCTGTTTTCTATATCTAAAAGGCATATAGAAATCCATTTGTCCTTATGAGTCTAAAATGCACTTTAAACATGTCTAAGATATTTTAATGGGTTGGTAAGTCCATCAAACTTCTCAAATCTGTAAGTTAGGAACTGATTAGCTGATATTCACACTTCTCAAGGTGCGCTATTTAATTTGTTGGAACTTACTGTTTACGGATGTTTTTTCTCACTGCACAAATTCCCAGCTGACCATGTGATTCTTGAAATTTCAACATGTATAGAAATCTAATGTTTCTGATTGAGTATTTACTTAACTGCCTTGAATGCAATTTTAGTCTAATGAAACCTTTTCTCTTTTACCGAAGGATGAAAAAAATGAACTTCGCCTTCGGACACAAAGTCTAGTAGATGAAGCTCAAGCCTTGCTAAAATGTCGTTCTTCTTTGTATCAATCTTATGAAGATGCCGTGACAAAATATAAAGGATCTAAAGATAGCGCTCAATTCACGACTGCTCGTCGTAAATTAGAAGCGGAATATAAAAGTCTGAATCAACAGCTGATGTCAGTTCAGAATAAAATAGGAGATTTATATCCGGACGGAGTAGATAAAGTAGGCTTCTTAGTATAAATTTTTGTTTTCAGTTAATATTCTTACCTTAAAGTTTAACACTTAACTTACTCAAACTTCAAATGTGTGAAGGACTATGACTGGATTTTCACTTTGTTTGGTCATTTATTCGATACATGGTCACCTTAGTCCATGCACTACGTAATCAAGCCAACAAACGTCAAGATTTGACATGTACATAATCTTAGGCGTTATTCACTGCATATGATACTTATTTAGACAAATGTTGGTACAAAAGGAAACCCGAAATATATATGGGCAAAACAAAAATAAGATTATGAAGAGATGGAGAAAGATGTGTACAAAAGCCGCAATATATGTAATTCAGTGAGATTGAAAAATGCAATCAAAAAGAATCCTTTCAGTCAAAGAAGTTACTCATATGAAGAGAGTAAGAGGAAATTACAGTAGGATCATCTCTGGCTCCTATTCTTAATCATGTCTAATAACATCTAAAGCCACTGTGTTACTCTGTCTTCAGGATCCCGGCCAGGAAGTCATGAGGGACCGACAAATGCCGATCGTGTACAGCTTTTTTCCATACCACGACACAATATCATACACTGACCACTTCCACTGTTTCCAACTAGTGTCATCCTCGAACTTATCACGCCAAATAGAGTTAGGAATGCTTATTATCTGTTCCACATCCGTAAAGTACTAAGTAGTTCCATTTTGTTTCTACTTAGTGACTGTTTAAGGAGTAGAGCGTTTAGACTTATCCGTACATTCTATGCGTCAAGTTCATTCCTTCTACAAAAAGTATTCACCCATGTTTAATTTTCCTCATTTTCACTAATACTCATTATTTAAACTTGTTAATTTCACGTTTTAATAATGTGATATAGCATCTTCAGCTAACGGACTTGTTTACGTCTTTGTTAACGATGATATTTCCCAATGCTGCAATGTGCTATTTTTTTGTCAACAAATTAATAATTATTCACCAAAAGTTAAATCAATCGTTATATTATTGAGTTACTTCTTATATCTGGATTTCAAGTTAGAAATTAAAACTGTCATATTTATTTTTCTAGTTGAACGACATCAACCATTTGGATCAACAATATCGTGATCTAGTTCAAGAAGGTATCCAACTGGCAGAAAAACTCCTTACTGGCAAGTTGACAAAACCACAATATCAGTCCTCAAATGACGATTTATGTTCTAAGAAAGCTGATATAATCTACAGAATAGACTCAATATTGGAATGCCTCTAGCAGTAACGAATAGGATTCATGTGTATAATTTTTTGTGTTGACTTTATTTTTAGTCCTTATCTTTCTGTGCGATTGTGTTTTGTTAATTTTTTCTACTATTAATGTTTTTCTTTAAATACAAGACATTGGATAAGTTGTTTATTGTTTGACTTTAGAGTAACAACATCTTACTCGAATGGTTGCATATGTGATGCTCAGTACACTTCACTACGTAGTCCGTTGTACTGCTTTCGTATTATTATTATATCAAGAATAGATTACTACAAGCACCGTAGTAGTTACAGTCTTTTATTTACATTTGCGAGCACTAAAGCCCTAAATTTCGATTTAAACAGCATACGGCTTCACATATGTCGCTTGATGTCATCACATCTTTTTATTTTAGTATCTAGTCGTCTAACACTTATGAACTGGAAAAGAGACCGATTAATTTATAACTTTCAATAGTGAGTTTAATATTTCCAATTGCATCTGATCCAAATGTTGAGATTCACCACTTCTAAATAATCGTCGCTTAGATGTATTGTGATATAGTTACGTGCTACTCCGACCGATTTTATACATTTACGTTGATGTAGGCGTATCCAGTATTCAATTTTTACATACAACCTGCCGCCTCTGTAAGTCGGTTCAAGCCGCCACACCTCAGTGAAAAAAGGATATGAAATTATCGGGCGGCATTCTCGTGTACTAGCAGTGATAATTGTAAAAGAAAAGCAACGGAGATACGGTTAAAATACGGAGTTATGATAAGTGGTGTATATAAGGGAAATTAGTGCTTCCGAACTGAATGAAAAAAGTGCACATGTCAATGTAAATAGCTCATCCATGACAAATAGTAGCATCATTGCATACAATTATGGGTCGAAACCATGTAGTATACACCTACTGATATAACTCAGTCCTGTAGTCTGACTCCGTGGACTAGTGCTCAATCACCCCTAGCCTCATTCCAACCTACTACACCCATCATTCTGCGTCGAAACGGGGAATAAGTTTCGTCAGAAAACCTGTCTTGAAGCAAAATTTTGCTTGTGGAGAGGGAGAAATACGTATTGAATCTGTTCCATTTGTTGCTTATGGCGACCTGAACCATCTCATCTGTGTATTCGGAGTCAACGAGTGGGCCTCCTGGTAGAAGATCGATTTCTGAGATGGATGGTAAATGTACTTCTAAAAGCATGTCTACAGTAAACTTGAATTGAGATAGGAAACATTAACAAGTTCGACGAACACCGATTGAATTCAAGTTCAATGACAGTTTACGATAAGCTCTGATTCGAATAGTGGTGTTCGAGTAGAGCATGCACTAGGCTAGTGAACTTTGTTATTACGGTTTTTAATGATAGGAATTAACGTGAAACCTGTCGATTTAAATAGACGTCTTCAGGTCAGTAAATACGGGTATGGCCGGTTGGCGGCGGTTATGTCTATTCCAGGACCTGAGAATGGGCGAATATTTGGTCGCGATTTTTAAGTCTGAAATCAACTTTTTGTGCTATTTACGAACCCTATTTGAGCGCTTTGTCATTATTGAGGCTGATATTGTAGACATTATTAGGTAAACTGATTCCTCTGTGGTTATATCAGTGGGATTCTAGTCTTGTAAGTTGAGGCGGTGAAGTTTAGTCGAATGGGATTGCGTTTAGTTTCCTGGTTTTAATATCTCAGTCTATCTGCTAAAACCGTCTCCGGAAGTTAGTAAATCATGGACCGATGGTTTCTCGGTTATGATGTCTTATGGTTTTCTCAACCTCTTTATGCGCGAATGGGCAGATGTCCAGACCAGGTTGTTTAGTAACAGTAGGCAACGGGAAGGTAGCTGGAGATCACTTAAGCTATCCTTCAGTACTCTGCCCATAATCTCAATCTCTTAGGTTGGGCGGATCATTCCCATAAACAGACTGTCTCTAGTTCTTGAAATACACTGCTGAGATTCTTGTCGTGTTTCTTCTGCAGCGAGAAGAGCACTAGAGCATAATCGAAACCGAAATATGTACCACAGAGTAAGTGGGAGTCTTCTACCACCAACGATAGCTGACGGGAGTTGACAAGAATAAACTTGTCTATGACTAATTGCTACATAAGGTTGTCGTTTACTTTTCGTTGAGCTAGGACACTGTAAGAGCCACCTGGGCATCTTTTACCTTGGTTTAAACTATGTACTTGGATGCTAAAATCTCCTGCTACAATAACGACTAAGGGGGGCTTAACGTTCTGTGGTAGAAGAGAAAGCTTCCTGTAAAACTTATCCTTTAATTCATCTCAAAGGCTGTAAAATGACGCCCTCAGGTTTACCGATTTATATGTATCATTGAATACAGATGCTTCCCTAAGCATCTTATGATTTTTGTCACAAAAGACTTTATCAAATGTCTAACTACTTACATAAACAGAAAACAAATTACTCTGACGTTGACAGATACACAAACTTCTGATATTCAGTGTAAAGACAGTAATAACAGCAAGTTCTGATCAATAAACACTAGAAAGCTAATTCTGTCCACACAATTATTCTAATCATGACAACTTCGCAGTTTGAATATGAATTCGTTTAAAAGAACTGACAATAAATAAACGAACGCAAATGGATTGGTATTTTTTTTTCTTTTTTTTTTTTTTTTTTTTTTGTAATAAAAGGTCAGAGATTTAGGACTGGGTATATCTAGTACACAATGATACTCATATAAATGGTTATTAATTGAATTCAAATTAAATTTCTTTTGTACACACATAACAACAGCATATGTCATTCCTTAGAATGTTATGTAAAGCAGTGTAAATAGTATTGTTATACATTAATAATAATAATAATATTAATCTGTACAATACTGTATAAATAAATAGTTCTGTGTATAGAATAGGATAAATAATTCAAAAAGTGTAAGGAATAGACAAAAAGTTAGTGAATATATAGTTGTAAATTAGTAGAAATAACCATTTAAAGAAAGAAAGAAAGAAAGAAAAAAATAGAGAGATGAAGCAATTTATTTACAAGTAATGAACATTTCATATAGATTAAAAGTGTTCAAGTAAAAAATGGAACCTAATTCAAATTTTTTTTTTTTTTTTAGGTCTAAACAACAAAAAGGCACAAAAGTTTTTCTTTTTTTTTATTTATTTATTTATTTATAAAATATTATTTATGAAATTTATCATTCATTAAAATTTGTTAACTTCTTTATGAGATTGATATGTGAATGGATATTCTCTTAGATTTAATTCATATGGGAAATGTTCGTTTTGATATAATGATGATCTATGTCCAAATGAATATCGATCTGAAGGATATGTGGAGTATTGTTGTTGTTGTTGCTGTTGTTGTTATCGTGGTGGTGATGGTGGTGTTTGTTTTTGACATTTTGATCCTCTACTCTTATGACCAATAGCTGTGAAAGTAAAGAATTGTGTGAAATCAGGATTCATGATACTGATATATTTATTTGTTATTTATTTTAACACATAGGTATCGGTACAAGGAGGCACCAAATATATATGCGCCACACAAATCTCAATTGATTTGTGTGAGGGCTGTGATACTGCACGGGTGCTCAAACCGAAGCAAGTGGTTTTCTTAGGGGGCCACACCCCGAGCCTTGGACCTGAATGTCTGATCCACAAGGCAGTGGAGCATCGTAAGGAGATGCAGTCACATGGTAGCCGGTGACCAACGATTGGTTCATACGCCATTTGTTCCTTCAGGATACTGGAGCCAGCCCATGTGCACCATTGGTTTGGGATCCGGTTAAAGCTGGTGCCGGACATTCGCTTTTCATCCTCTCATTTTCGTAAACAGCACCGGTGTCACGAGAATGCAGTGAGTAGGACTTCCCTGGCAGAGGCTATATACGCGTGGCCATGTGAGAGCATTTTGAGAGGGAGAGCGGACTCTCCCCACTCTCGGCCGTACCAGGGCAATTGGGGGCATATTGTCTAATTTTTAATGAAAGTAATGAATAGAAAATAGTCATACTATTATTAAATCAACTGGAAAATTCAAATAATATAAAACTTTAAATTATGTATTGACTTTAGCTAGATAATGACTGAGTTAGGCACGGGACCTAAGGTTTCTAGATTCGACCTTTAGTGGGGTCATAAATGTACACACCTAGTGTAGTAAATAAAGACTTGTTGCGGATAACCAATTAACTAATTAATTAATTAATTAATCAATACAAAATTACAGAATGTTTTCGTAAAATACAGCTATTCTCTGTTTGTATTTCTGTTCCCTGCAATTGGATCTTCTCAACCTTTTACTGCCAGGAATTTCACTTCTGATTGATGCTACATACTAATGTTGACAGATATAAGTAGCATATATCACACTAGGAGTCTCATACTACGATAAAATACATGTCCAGTGGTTCTTAGTTTCCAATGGTTGTTTAATTAAGATCAATCTTTGATGTCAACTATAAAATTCTGCAACCTCCACAGCACTATAAAACATTGTTTTCAACCATTATAAACTATGTATCGAAAGTGCACTGAATAGTTAGATTGGTTTAGTCACATATTTCACATGAATTAACGGAATGCATTATTCCTCCCCCCCCCTCTATAAGGTGGTAGTTTTAAGTTATGATGCAAAAGTATACATAAAAGAAACTAGTTTCTTGATTGACACAATACTATTCAGCCACAAAGTTAGAATCCTCTGGTTTGTATATGTAACAATGTAACTTTCATTCAGCAATATAAGAAGACATCTATATATACCTTCAACTAGGGTAACAATTTAAATCAAGAATTTTCAATAGAACTTCAATAATATCTACCTTGAAACAAGTTGACGTCTGGTGTATCGGTATCCGTATTCTTAAAGTGTTTGTGTGTGGTAATTTGATATTATTCTAGTTGTAAGTTTATATCTGATTTATTAATCGTTTCTAAAACTTCACAGAGCTCATGAATTACAATAAATTAGTTAACATTTTATCTTGATAGTTGAGTTCATGAGTCAATCTAAGCTAGACTACCATTTGGAACCTGGAAGCATAGGACGGCTATTTTGTCCTAGTATGGAACTCCTCAATAGTGTGCATCCATGATCCCGCATACTGGACTTGAACCCAGGACCTTTGATCTAGCACGTAAACACTTAACCTCAAGACCACAAAGCCAGCATCGATTCATGATCTTGTTCAACCATTCATCCATTGTCTGAGGTAGAATTCAACTATTAAAATTAATACAATCTCCATAAACTACCCATTCAGATAATAATCTTATTTTTAAAATATGTATCACAAAGGTACAGATTGAGATTTCTTATTTTTAATATGCTTTGTGCATATATAATCACATGAAGTTTTAGGTCTGATAAATTCAAGATTCTTGGTTAGTTTTTCTGATGTTTTGATTGAGAATTTGAAGATAAATTTGCATTTTGTGTGGTCAATCAGAAGTTAACTCACATAGTGGTTGTAAGTGTACTCAATAATAGTGAACATAGCAGGAAATTATTACAAACATAACATCCTCGACAATGGTGCAGACGTTTTTAAAGAAATTCAGGTAGTTGGTCTAAAACATTTTGTTAACACGAAATAACTGAATAGTTTGATGAAACTAGAAAGTACCAACCCAATCACACTTGATGGCGAAACTCCGGAAGATGTGGAATCCTTCACATACCTGGGAAGCATTATCGATGAACAAGGAGATTCAGATGAAGACATAAAGACGAGGATTGGCAAAGCAAGAAGAATATATAGAACTCGAAACAACTGTCAACCAATATCAAAATCACAATCTTCAATATGAACGTCAAGACAGTTCTACTGTACAGAGCCGAAACTTGGAGAACTACTACAACCATTATCAAAAACGTACAAGTATTTATAAATAGTTGTCTACGCAAGATACTCAACATCCATTGGTCGGATACCATCAATAACAGCCTACTGTGGGAGGAAACGAACCAGCTTCTAGCTGAATAGGAAATTAGGAAAAGACGATGGAAATAGATAGGATATACATTGCGAAAATCATCAGACTGCATCACGAGCGCTAACCTGGATTTCTGAGGGGAAGCAGAATAGAGGAAGGCCAAAGAACACATTACATCCGAAAATAGAAACAGATATGAATAGGATGAAAAACAACTGGGAAGAGCTGGAAAGGATTGCCGAAGACAGGGTTGGATGAAGAGTGCTGGTGGGCGGCCTATGCTCCTCCATAAAGAGTAACAGGCGCAGATAAGTAAGCAAGTACCTGAGGATTCAATTTCCTTGGGTTCCATTAAAAAGTCAATTAAAGTGTTACAAAGCATCTCAGTATGAACATACGTTGATTCCCGTATTTTAAATAGTAAAACTACACGTTAGGTAAATGATTTCAATTTATTTAACCACAAACGTTGGTACAAGGAGTCAGCAAATAGATATACACCACACTTCGTCATTCGATTTGTGTGAGGGCTGCGATACTACCCGAATGCCCAAACTAAAGCAGGTGGTTTTCTTAGAAGGCCACATCCAGTCTATTTGTTCCCTTAAAATCCTGTAGCTTATGTGTACCATTGATTTGGAATTAGGGTTTTCCAACTTCGCTAGGTGGATACTCTATATCCATCAACCCGATTAGAGCGTCGGACATTCGCTTTTCCTTCTCTCAATTTCGTAAACAACACCCCCGTAGTGCGAGAAGGCAATGAATGAATAGGACTTTCCTGATAGTGGTTATATGCATATGATCATATGAGAGCATTTAGAGAGGGAGAGAGAGAGAGCTGTCTCTTTCCACTCTCAGTCATACCAAAACAGTTGAGAACAAAAATGATTTCACAATGAAGAAAAAAAAAAGGTGTACATTATTAACAATCATATAATTTAATACCCCAACTACTTTTTTTTTTAAAAATTCTTACTTGAAAGATCAACATCCATTGAACTAGTTGAAGCTTGAATATTATTTCTTATTCTATTATTAGGATTAATTGCTGGCCAAATAGCAGGTATTCTTGATCGACGAAAGTCATAACCATTATATACATTATTATTTTTATCATTATCATTATCATCGTCATCATCATCATCATCATCATCAAAATTAGTTTTTCTTTCATGTTGCATTAGTAGTCTACGATGAAATAATATATTACCACCACTAAATGTATGATAATATCGATGATATCGTTTTTGTAAAACATTTTGATCATCTTGATGACAATTATTATAATCTGTTATAATTCTAGGTATAGTACTAGATCGTTGACGATAATAATCTTGATTCTGATGATGTTGATGTTGATGATGATGATGATCCTGATGCTGATCCTGATGATCATGTGGAAGATTATCTGTATCTATTGAATTTCTTGAAATTTCTTCAAGATATAATTGATTATTAGGTTGTTTACCTTTAATTATTTGACTACTAATATTAAGTAATTGAGTTAAATGTTTTATTAAATGTATTGGTGTATCAGTAATTTTAATTAAATTTGAATGAATCTCTGAATGAATTGATGATTTATAACTTAATGATGATGTATTATATTCTATTGTATTATTCATATGAGATTCATTTATAAAATATGATGATAAATGATGATTTACTGTTGGTTCAATAGAGAATCGATTTTTCATCATTAATAATGAATATGATGGAATATGTAATAGATATGATTTTAATGGTAAATGTTTACCACGACCTAAATGTTTTGCAAGTAAATTACCAATAGTATCCATATTTGGATAAAATGTATTTCTAATGATAATCATAAGTAATCTATAAATAAGAAAACAAAAATTAAATGATATACATATACAAATGAATGTATATGTTAGATGGATAGTATAGTAATAATAAAGTGAGATGAATAGGGTATTAGGGAGTGATGGTAAGTCAGTGAATGGGTCACATAGTATATATACCTGAACACTGATTACCATGATGTGCAATGCTAACTGATGTTGGAGATTGGTTAGAAGAAAGTTAGCATCGGCCAAACTGAAATGTCACATCAGTGCTTGAAGTCATTAACTTCTAGTCAGAGCCATGGTAGTAGATGCAGACTACTTGTTTAAGGTCCGCGTGACTATCGTAGCCAATGGTTGGAGACTCTGTGTAGCATGGCTCAGAATCGACCACAATAGTGTAGGTGTATACACGCTTTGTATTTCATTAAACCGTTAGATAAACAAGATGATAAGTGATTATTTACTGTTGGTTGAATAGAGAATCGACTTTTCATCATTAATAATGAATATGATGGAATATGTAATAGATATGATTTTAATGGTAAATGTTTACCACGACCTAAATGTTTTGCAAGTAAATTACCAATAGTATCCATATTTGGATAAAATGTATTTTTAATGATAATCATAAGTAATCTATAAATAAGAAAACAAAAATTAAATGATATACATATACAAATGAATGTATATGACTTATTTCTGTCCACTACATGACCACTATCGATTAAGTGTGAAAGAACTGAGCTGCGTATTGTCTTTACGTAACCTTTTCCTAACCACAATGGGAGGTGTTCACTAACTCTTTGGTTCAGTTGCCTGGTTGTGCGCCCAATATAGCTTTCTCCACAGGAGCAGCTGAATTCGTAGATACACATAGAAGTGGCGTAACCAGGTAACTTGTCCTTCAGTTGGGGAAAGGTTACGTAAAGACAATACGCAGCTCAGTTCTTTCACACTTAATCGATAGTGGTCATGTAGTGGACAGAAATAAGTCATTTAAAGTTATTTATCGTATTCCCACTAATTTTCTCTATGGTGTTCGATCTCGTCTCTTACACATAGCAGAAGCTATAGGAATTCGAGCCAACAAGCCGAATCTTTGTGTTCAGAAAAAATGAATGTATATGTTAGATGGATAGTATAGTAATAATAAAATGAGATGAATAGGGTATTAGGAAATGATGGTAAGTCAGTGAATGGGTCACATAGTATATATACCTGAACACTGATTACCATGATGTGCAATGCTAACTGATGTTGGAGATTGGTTGGAAGAAAGTTAGGATCGGCCAAACTGAAATGTCGCATCAGTCCATAAAGTCTGAGGCATGTCGGCAGATACAGACTACTTTGTTGAGGTTCGCATGACTATCGTGACCAATAGTTGGAAACTCTGGGTGATATGGCTCAGAATCGATCACAATAGTGTACGTGTATACACTCTTTGTCTTTCATTAAACCATTAGACTAAAATTGCCTTATAACTTTTTTTCTACCAAATAATTCTTTCCTCCTGTACTATATCCTTATATGCAATCTTTCTTCTATATAATACCACCACTGGATTAACGACTTTTATGCATCCGGTGGTCATCTTGTTGTGCTAATGTGATATGGCAACTTCGACCGATGCATGTAAACGCCTGGTCCTATGTTGTAGCTGACTGACTGACTGAAACTACTTTACATAGTTTTACAAATAATATATGTATATATATATATACTTAATAACATACAAATTGAAGAAATAAAAGCCATTTTCTTTCTGAAATTACAGTTTAAATATAATATAGCTGGTGAAACGATAATTCGATGTATAGAGAAGACCGTAGCACTAACATTTAATGCTGCCGACCAATGATGAGTTTAATAAATAAAGATAAACCATCACTTCCAAGTTTTTCATGGTGGTCTATCTTCAATTGACTCATCATCTCAACTATTGATATTATTATTGTCTTTAGAGAAAATATTCAGATAAATGGTATATTAATCCATCACTGTTTATTTATTATTGATTTTTTTAAAAATCTATGTATTAATGTACAGATATGAGGAGAAACTGGTCCACCAGGGTGTTTAGTACCTGTGTGCTTGCGCCACAGGATTGAGCTGTACTGTTTGGGTTGTCACCTGAAGGTCTGGATGGTGTCTGGTTTTCTTAAAAACCAGTGTAGAATTACCCTGGCCTACAAAGGTATGTTATACAACTGTGTTATATATATATATCAAAAGATAGAACAAATGTGAGTACCTTAATGATTACACTGAACCATTACAAATATTTTTCAAAATAATTTACAAGGTCAAGTGATTGGACTGGAAAGAAGTATAAACTAACAACTTGTTTAACACAGAGGCGTTAACAAATCAATAGTTCATACTTGAACCCCATGTTCAATAACAACACACACACAAGGTTTTCATACTCAATAAACTAATCAATAATTATTTTATAGTTGGATTCATGAGTCAATTAAAGATAGATCACCATGGAAAACCCGAACGTATTGTACGGCTGTTTCGTCTTAGAATGGGACTCCTCAGCCCTGAAAATCCACGATTCTGCCCCACGGAATTCGAACCCAGAACTTATCGGTCTCACGCGCGAACGCTTCACCTCTAGACCACTAAGCCGGTATCCAAAGGTGTTATTGTTTAACTTCAACCAATTCACTACTAAGAAGTCCTACAACTATGATCAAACGGCCGTTCAGTGCTTTCAGGTTTTTCATAGTGTTCTATCTTCAAATGACTCATGAATTTAATAAATAAATAAATAAAATATCTATTTTCAATATATTCAACAATATTATTTACTTCACCTGGGTAATAATGCCAAAATAATAGTAACCAATGTTAATAACCAAAATTTGATATCATTCATTACGCGGAATATAATTCGATAAGGGCATTCAGGTGGAACAACAGTAACAGCAAATGCATGATAGATCATTGTAAATATTAAATATGATAGAATATAACTAACGAAAAAGCTAACTGCATGCAATATAACCTAATGATAATGAGAAAAAGAAAATAAAAAAAGAAAAACCTGTTAAATTCAAGTGTATACAATCGTTTTTTACTCTTCTAATATGAAGACATTCCATATGGAATAGTACTTTATACATTAGTAGTAATGTGGTATGTGCTACTTATGTAGACATAAGTAGTATATAACGCGAGTTAGAAACGTAATGTCTGGCTGCAGAAGATGAGGAAAGATCAAGAAAGGAAGAGCGGAAACAATGGAATTTGTATGAAAATGCATGAACAATTAAATGTCAGACAATCGATTGATGTTTGCAACAGGAACAGCCCAGTTTGATATGATGGATTGTTATTTTGCAAATTAACGTATCACTATATGGTTGTTAGATTTTATTAACAAGTGCTACTACTGTAGTGAAATGAAGAACACCGATGGGGACAATCGGATGTATTTGACACAAAATTACAGGACTTGTTAATGAAATCTAACAACCATATAGCAAATGCTTAATTTGCGAAATGTCCATCAAATGTCTCAAAACCACTCCGACTTCATTGTTCTTGCATTTTCATACAAATTGCATTCTGTTTTCATTCTTTACTGTTCGACCTTCTTGTCTCTTTGCTGCCAGACATTCTGTTCACGACTAACATCATATGCTACTTATGTCGATATAAGTAGCACACACCATAGTAGTAGTAGTACAGATTATAATTAGTTCTTTTATAAAAGCACATATTACTTGATAAAATAATGAAGTGACTAAATAACCAAAAATGAAGTTGATCTTCAAATCTCGACCCATTAACTAATATATGATTTACTATTCTTAATCTGTTGCCAGTTTATTATTATACAGTCTCTTTTATTCATAGCCACTTTCTGATTTGATCATGTATAATTGTTGTGATGTGGTCTGTTACGTTTGTAAATAAACTATATCTGCATGAAATATAATGTAGTTGAGGTTAGTTACTGACTACTAGATTGAAGAGTAAACTAGAGGGAACCTATAAAATCGTGGGTCAATAAGAACTTAGCAATTGACTCAAGGTCACTGGTGCTGATTGGACACCAAGTCATAGAAATCAGGATTCTGATTGGTGACTTAGCTAGAGATTGATAAGCCATAACAATATAAAATTTAAAAAGCCGCTCATTATAAATGAAGTTATTGAACAATTGATGATCATTCAATTTTATTTGTTATATCTAACTGTGGTGTGTGCTACTGATGTCGACAGATATAAGTAGTATGTATCATCAATCGAAAGTGAAATGTCTGGTGGCAAAAGTTTAAGAAGATCAAATAAAAGAGAATAAGAATAGACAATGATTGGTATGGAATTGTAGGAACAATGAAGTCTGAAACGATTGATTGACATTTTGCAAAAAGAACAATCAAGTTTGAGAAAATTTAAAGCAATTAGTCTCTTTTATAAATTTCAATAGAACAATGAGAAGACAGAGTTGATCTGATGAAAATGTGATGTATTTTTGCGCTATACATTTCGAACAATCTGGTCACACATATATACTTGTCAGGACATTTTTTATATGAAAGTTAATAAAGGTCAATTAAATGAAAGTCCAAGTAAAAAGTAACAAATGGGATAGAAAGAATAAGAAATTGTTGTATTATCCTAGGCCATGGAATAAATTAAAGATTTCCAGGGTAAATTCCAAGTTATGACAAATTGTTTTTGTACACATAAGGGGGGGGGTAAATTTACGAATAGTCAAGGCTTCAATAAACTTGAGAATTCGTCCTTGACAATTTCTATACAACGTTTTAAAAGCTGTATTCATGTCAATTTTGTGCTTCGTTTCAATTATATGTTTTGCTGTCGATGAACCTGGTTTTCAACCTCCCACGTTGATTGGATCATTTGATACACATTGATTTTGAAGACATTTAGGCATATGTTCATTGACCCTTGATTGGATTGTTCGATTACTCCTTCCTATGTATATGTGTCCACACAAACATGTAAATTGGTAAATACAATAGGATGTGACGTAATCATTAGTGCATTGTCTAGGTGTATTAAGAATTATGGCCTTAGACTATTCAATCACAATCAATTGAGACAATTGATTGACATTTTACAAATAAAGAATTTATTGTTTAATTTTCAAATTTTACTAAAATGTTCTATAAATTTATGTTCGAATACATATCGTTATCCCCACTTGTGTTCTCGTTCAATATACAACCACTTCATAAGTATTCATAGAAAGTATAACAGAGTTATCAAATGTTATTTTGATCAGGAATTCTATAAAAACATTCATTTACAATATTATTTTTTTTTATGTTTTTGTAATTGTAAACTTTCTATTTAATGTCACTTCTTCAATGTTGATATATCTTTGAATGTTTATAAACATCAGTTAACCTGTATTCTAATTGAAAGATTAAGAACAAATGGTTTTGTATGTAACTTCCTAATTGTTTATCATATGCAGTAACTGAGTAAATGAACTTATTGTTAATGAGCATAAACGGGAAAGAAAAAAAAAGTCATTACAACGATGTTACTAATTCATAGTAAGGTTGGTGTATTTATTATTTATTTTAACACATAGATATTGGTACAAGGAGGCACCAAATACATATGCGTCACACAAATCTCAATTGATTTGTGTGAGGGCTGTGATACTGCACGGGTGCTCAAACCGAAGCAAGTGATTTTCTTAGAGGGCCACACCCCGAGCCTTTGACCTGAATGTCTGATCCACAAGGCAGTGGAGCATCGTAAGGAGATGCAGTCACATGGTAGCCGGTGACCAACGATTGGTTCATACGCCATTTGTTCTCTCAGGATACTGGAGCCAGCCCATGTGCACCATTGGTTTGGGATCCGGTTAAAGCCGGTGCCGGACATTCGCTTTTCATCCTCTCATTTTCGTAAACAGCAGGGGTGTCACGAGAATGCAGTGAGTAGGACTTCCCTGGCAGAGGCTATATACGCGTGGCCATGTGAGAGCACTTTGAGGAGGACAGCGGACTCTCCCCACTCTCGGCTGTACCAGAGCATTTGGGGGCAAACCTGGAAGCACTGGACGGCCGTTTCGTCCTACTATGGGACTCCTCAGCAGTGCGCATCCACGACCTCGCCCCGTGCGAAATTCGAACCCAGGACCTACTGGTTTCGCGCGCGAGCACTTACCCACTAGGTTGGTGTAACTGTAGTTCAAAGAAAGTTGAAATGAAGAGCATGACTTCTATTCTGTTGAAAAAAGCTATTACCTTATATTAAATGAAAAGCTTATGGAAATACATTTATATGATGCTCAAGATATTTATAATGGATAGGAAGAATCAAATTTTGTTATCATAATGGGAATGATAGTGTGAAACGTATCAATCGATTTTTAATCGATTGTCAGTAGTAAAACCTCAAGCAAATTACTTTGTTAATGATTCAATGAATAATAAACTAGTCAGGGGTGTAGGAATGCTGAAAAAAAACATCAAGATTCCTACAAAGGACGGTACGCTCAAGAAGTAAGTGATATTACATCAGCCTAGTGTAATTCGTTCGATATCAGATTGTTAATATCAGTTAACATGCAATCGTGGGTGAAAGTTTCATGCAGGTTTACAAATCCATAGGACATACCTATAACGTTATTGAAAGGTTTATTGTCTTTAAATAGCAATTAAATACTTTACATCGAGCTTATTCAACTCAGGATTGAACTATTTTAAGACTAGTTTGTTTGAACGAATTGTTCACCTGATGGTTTACAAGTGACAAATCTTAATCAACTCTGAAGTGGATATAAAGATTAATGATATGTTTTCAATTGCCTTGTAAATGCTATGAAACTATCTGTATAGAAGTAGTGGTTTATACTACTTGCATCTGAATTGAACTAAAGTAAAGCATGACTTCAAAATAGTGTTCAATGCTTGAATTTAAACTACATTGATTTGAACAATATCTTAGAGAATCAATATTGTTTCTCAGATCTTATTTTGCTGATAGGGTAGCATATCTAAAGCAAGTTATATAGTACAGTATTACAAGGGATCACTTAGTTAAGTTCATGTTGTATTTTGTTTTATTTTTTTCGACCAAAGAAAGAGGTCGATAAAACTTTATATACATCGTAACGGAATGATCGACTGAACGCGTCCCTAATACATTTAATTAGATGATCATATACACATAGTTTGAAAATGGCTTTAACAAACTAACACCTACTGGAGACTTTATAAATTCCTAGAAACGCTAGATCGACATTTCATTCTAGTTTAGATACTAGAATAGTTTACACTAAGGCCCCCCCCCCTCACAACATAAAATCTAGCCGAAGACCGAGAGATTTCATTGACTGCTTCATAATCTTCATATTCATTTTTGATTAACTTCTAGTTATGTGACAAGTTATGTTGTCTGGATATTTTGTATATTGATACCATTTTTAGTTTCTTGAAATATGTATATGATAGGTTGATCAGTGGTTGTGACTTCTGTATAGTATCCATATCAAATTCATGGATAGATAGTCAATTAGGCGAAATGCTAAATTCCAAGTTGTTTCATTATTCCCATGCTGAAGTTGGAAACAAGTAATCAAATGAAATTCATGTACTTTACATAGAATGCTGTCTAAACAGATAGATTCATTTCAACAATATAAAAGTTAAGATGGTTAGTGGCTAGCAGTGGAATCTCTAGATTCTTTATATCTAAATGGATAGTTTGAGCATAATTTGTAAATAACGAAATGATTGATTTCAATTGAGACTAAATAATATGAAAAACTGAAAATCTCAGTGACTAATTTGCCTATTAAGAACATGGTTTATTAGTACAATGTAGATTTAAAAAATTCAGATCATGCAGTTGAATTATCTCACATAATTTGTTTCTTATCAATGTTTAATAAGTAGATAGATGGATGTACCTGCATCACCAAGTTGATATGCTCACTCTGGGACTCGAGTCCAAATCGAACGAAGTGTCGTGCATCAAACTGGATACCACTGCTAGCCACTATCTATCCTTGCTTATAATACTTATGAATTAAGACAATATCGAAGCAATTCGCACTAGATGCACATATGCTAACAAGAGTCTGATCAATCACAGTCTTAATCATCCATGAAAAGATTCAAGTTAAAACAATACCAATTGAACTTGTATGTTAACTTTCAGCCATTCTAACAAAACAATACAAAATTCAAAAATTGTCCCAGAGTGAACATCAACTCTAATATGCAGAGATATCCAGATGAAGAGTCTCAAATAGAACGAAGCGTGTTAAACTGGATTCCACTGCTAACCACTATCTATCTTTGTTTATACTACTTGTGAATTCAGACAATATCGAAGCAATTCGCACTAGATGCACATATGCTAACAAGAGTCTGATCAATCACAGTCTTAATCATCCATGAAAAGATTCAAGTTAAAACAATACCAATTGAACTTGTATGTTAACTTTCAGCCATTCTAACAAAACAATACAAAATTCAAAAATTGTCCCAGAGTGAACATCAACTCTAATATGCAGAGATATCCAGATGAAGAGTCTCAAATAGAACGAAGCGTGTTAAACTGGATTCCACTGCTAACCACTATCTATCTTTGTTTATAATACTTATGAATTAAGACAATATCGAAGCAATTCGCACTAGATGCACATATGCTAACAAGAGTCTGATCAATCACAGTCTTAATCATCCATGAAAAGATTCAAGTTAAAACAATATCAAGTGATGAATCTGTTATAAATGTTATTTAATAAACAAATAAACAAACAAACAAACAAACAATCAATTACCAATGTCCTAGTGATTATTAATGAATGAAATAATGTACATAGAATTGTTGCATTTGTTTGAAATAATCCAAATTCCCACAAACCAATATTATCATCAGAATAAGTAAAATATGATAGAAAAAATATGATTAAACTTTGCCATAATGCATCGAAAATATTCATCCAAAATAACCATGGACGATAAGCCTAATAAAAAATAAAATTAATATTACAAAAAGAAAATAAATAAAACAAGAAAATTTAAACTGTTTTTTTTTTATTAGATATAAGTGTTCCTAACTTGCTTATTTCTGTTAAGCTTCATAAAGAAGCATAGGATGTCGATCAAATCTTTTCAATGTAGTGGAGCTAATCCATGTCGGATAGAGAAAGGTATCTACCTTAGTACAGTGGAAGATGGTTGCGTAATTTCGTAGATTGGTTGAGGTTAGACATTAACATTGATAGATACCGAATCAGTGGTCTAGAGGTTAAGCGTTCGCGCGTGAGAGTGAGGGCCCTGGGTTCGAATCCCGCTCGCGGGATCATGGGTGTACACTGCTGAAGGGTCCCACAAATGGACGAAACGGCCGTCTAGTGCTTCCAGGTTTTCAATAGTGGTCTAACATTAATCAATTCATGATCTCAATCAAAAACTTAATAATCTCCACAACCCTATACTGATAACTCTTCAATCTACTTTATCTTGGTTTCTTCTTTTCAGTTGTTTCTAAGACCTATTCATTCTTTTGATTTCTTCCTTTAATTCCTGACTCAGTATGTGTTGAAGTTTGCCTTTTTTCCTTTCGTATTAAGGATTTTAAGTTAGGGTTTGCTTTTTGATGGAGCTTGATAGTTTCAGCAATGTATATCTCATCCACCTTTAGCATCTCTTAATTTCCTATTCAGTTGAAAGTTGGTTTATTCTTTTCCACAGTAAGTTGTTGCTGATTATATCCAGCCAACATATATAGAAAATTTTAATAGTTGAATTCATGAGTCAATTGAAGCTAGACCACTATGGAAAACCTGGGAGCACTGGATAGCCGTTTCGTCCTAGTGTGGGACTCCTCAGTAGTACTTCCAGGTTTTCCGTGATGATCTAGCTTCAATTGACTCGTGAATTCAACTATTAAATTACTATAATATCCACAAAGCCCCTCTCTGATCATATATAGAGTACCTTGCGTAGACAACTATTCATAAATATCTGTAATTTTTTGATGATAGTTATAGTAGTAGACTTAGCCTACAACGAAGAAGACTTAATTTTCATTGTAATACAGTTTTCAACCGCTGACTAGCTATATACAACACTACTTTTCTAATAGAAAAAGTGACTAGTTCTGTGTTAGATTATTATGAAGCAATAATAATTTGAATAAAACCAAAACAACAATTAAGGGTTGATTCAAATTTGTAAAGACAACTAATTGCATGAAATCTTCGAATAATGATTATTAATTATTCACCTGACCGTTGCTGCCACCTTGACGTGGTGGTCGGGCTTGCCTATAGTGATGGACCAATCAAACTATACTGGCTGCAACAATCGTTCCTCAATGTTCTGCCATATCAGACGGGTCGGTTGAAGAGCGGTAAGACTAAAAGTAGCAAACCCAAGGTCTGAAGGCGAAGTTGTACTGCTGACTGTACAGAGGTGTGACGGCAGTAAGGTGTTTCCTTCAGAAAACCAGCATGACAGAAATGCTGCCTTCCCACAAGGAGGAGTGGGTTTAGAAATGGTTGACCCTAAAAATGCACACCTCACCTTATCCCACAGATATCCGTCTCCGGCGGTAAGATCTCATCAAGTACGGAGACAACATGAAAATTACTCACAGAAAAGTCGTAATCGAGCGACATCAGGCGGTTGTCCCTTGGGCACTACAGTCATGCTCTCAGGTCATTAAGACCACCTCTAATCCAATTTTCTTTTCAGGTACCTCCATAAGAAACCTTCCACGCTGTGGGCAACCGAGAAGTGATAAAGGCCGCCCTCATACCTCTAACAGTACTCAAGACTGACTGATTGATTACTTATTCAAGATCTTAAGTTATTGGAACGATTATGAAAGTGTAATATATTCTGTTATTTGAAATATATACTTCCAAACATTGATGTAAGTTGAAAAAATTCTTTACAAAGGTTTCAGTCAGTCAGTCAGTAACAACGAGGAACTTCGTACGTACGTACATCAGTTCGAGTCACCATACCACGTTAGCACAGAGATTCAGTTATCGATTCAAATCCCGTAGTGGTAGAGGTGGTGAAAGTATAAGTAGTGATAGGGAACATTAGGGTTTGACGATGTTATTTAAGGAGTATAGTCCAGTGGAATAGATTTGGAAAGAGAAAAAAAGGGACATGAAGAATTCAGAAGATTAGAGTTTGAGAGAACACAGAAAGTGGATGCACCTGCGCCACTGTAAATGATTTTGAGTCATGTCATTCAAGGTCTCTGACCATCAGTTGCTATCATCTCGCGGTCACCAACCAAGTAGTCTAGACCTACCAACATGGCTTAGTCCACTTGTCAGTGACTTCATGGATTTGTGCTATAATTTGGTCTGGCCGCCTCTAGCTTTCTTCCAACCTACTCCTACACCAGAAAACATCGCACGTCGGAGCAGTCGGTGGTTGGGCATACGTAACACGTGTCCTTACCTAGTACCTGTTTCCTAACAACTGCATTACTTACTCGATGGTCCCAGGATATACGAGCAATGTTTCGAAGACACCTATGATCAAATACTAGTAACCTACAAATATCTTCTACTCTTACCGGCCATGTTTCACTGCCATAAAGTAAGACGGAACGAACTGCTGCGCAGTAAGTTTTCAAGCTTCTTGTTATAGCTATTAATGAAAAATTCTCTGAAAATGTATGCTAACATTTTAACAGGATAATGATCATGAACGTCAGTGAAAAAAGAATGAAGTTTTGAAATATTTTGGCAACAATGTTCAAATGTTTAACATTGAGTTCCTAACATTACTCATCAAAATGAAGAAATCAATCAATAAAGTGGTATTAATCCTAAGAAATATAGCTGTGATATGAAAATAAATGTATAATAATCCTTCATTTATTTCTTAAAATTTGAAACAACTAATGATTTATCACTGGTTATCTTCAGCAGAGCAGTATTTTAGGATAGTTGCAATTCTGTTGAGTTAATTAAGGGTGCAACTAATTTGTAATTTAGTCTTGCTAGCTCAGTGATCTAAAGGTTAATCGTTAGCTCGCAAGGTAGAAGATTCGATTCCCGAGTGTAGAATCGTGGATGTAGGCTGTAGAAGTCTTATACTAAGATGAAACGGCCATATAGTGTTTCCAGGTTTTTAATAGCGATCTAAGTTAGATCGTTGTTTCATGATCTCAATGATATTCAACAATCTACATATCTGCATACTGAAAACTTAGTCTTTGTTTATTAGATTAAAAAATATTTTCATGAATACTTTTTCACCGAATTACTGAATTATTTGAAAATGGATAAATAAAACTCAAACATTAATCGTTTCTCTGATCGTCCTGATACGGCCGAGAATGTGGATAGTCAGCTCTCCGTTTCCAAATGCTCTCATATAGCCACGTGCATACAACTACTATCAGGGAAGTCCTATTCACTGCCTTCTCGCACCACGGAATTGAGAGGAATTGTTTACGGAATTGAGAGGACAAAAACCAAATGTCCAGCGCTTCAACCGGGTTGGTAGATATGGAGGATCCACCTAGAGGAGTTGAAAAACCCTGATTCCAAACCAATGGTACACACGGGCTCTAGGATTCTGAGGGAACAAATGGTGTATAAACCTATTGTTGGTCACCGGACTGCATCACTGTATGTTGCTCCACTGCCTTGTAGATCAGACCTTCAGGTCAAAGGCTCGGGGTGTGGCCTCTTAAAAAAACCACCTGCTTTAGTTTGGGCACTCTATAAGTATCACAGCCCACACACAAATCAAGTGTCTTGTGTGGCAAACATCTATCTGGTGCTTCCTTCTACCAACGTTTATGTGTTTAAATAAATAAATAAAATTCTTTGATCGTCTATCTGGATCAACGATTGTACGAAATATACATATTCAAATTCATCCTTGCATTTGATTTGCTTAATTTCGTTACTCGCTAACGTGATTTAAGTCGATGATTATATACGAGAGTAGCCAGGATGTATATTTCGATCACAATCATAATACGATTGAACTGGAGTCAGATATCGGGCCGCATAAAATGTTTTCTTCTTTTTTTTATTAATATAAGATATGTAGTTACACTTCAGTTGAAGTAAAGACTTCACCATTTGCGATCACTGGCTTTAAGCTATTACACCTTCCTAATTCCTTTGCCTTTTACTGAATAGTTTGAAGAACCTATCTTTTTTGTTAACAAGCAGATATATTAAAAATAAAGTCTAAAATTTGTGTATACTAATTTCATCATTATGTCATTTTCGCCAAATGTCCTATAGAAGAAAACTTATGTCTTTGTGAATTATACTACTGATATTAAGAAACTGTAAAGGTTCAACATATTTCGCTAAATATCGACAAGTAATCTGAAATTCTGGAAACTATAAAGTTAGCGAATACAAAATCACTTAAGTTAAGGTAAGCCAATTGATTAGAATGAAATGTGGCGAGACTATAATTTATGGACAAGCCAATCAGAAGCGTTTCGGGGATTTCAAGGTCACGACACCAATTTCAGTACCTGATGCTCACGTACGATCGGTTCACAACGAATTTTAGAGAAAATGTGATAATTGAGCGACTAAAAATATATGGAACTACTAAAAGGTTCCTTTATTTGTGATTGTTGTAATCAAATGACTTGTGAACTTTGTACAGACTACTGTGATGATGTTGTCTTTCGATGCAATATGTGTTGGAGGAAGAAGTCTGCTAGAATAAAACTTTTTTCGCTCGATCCATATTGGAACTAAGGCAAATTATGACAGTTGTTGCAAAATGGATAATAAAAGCAACAGTAACACTGACTGCTACCGGGTACTACAATATATATAGTGTTGATTGGAAAGCGTACAGATGGCTACATAGACTTGTTTATGCGCATCGTGTCGTGTGGACCCAACTAGCGGAGTACACACAAACAATATTAAAGCTATGTGGTGGAGGCTGGAAGAGTCTATGTGACTTTATCATGTCTGCAGAATTCGACTATTATATATCCATATGGATACGATTTTAGAACCTCTGAACGTCTTTCTAACCTTGACAAATTTTTGAACCATATAAAAGAAGTGTATCCACTTTAATTCTTTGGTTTGTATAATATATTTTCACTCTATACTGACCTCTGGTTGGTTAATATTTCTCAAGGTCACGTAAGATTCGTTGAAAGGTCGTCCACGATTTTGAGTCTCGTCGAATCCAAATAATAATAATCAGAATGGGGTTTTGTGGAGATTTTAGTAATTTCAGTAGTTGAAGTCATGAGTCATTTGAAGTTAGACATTAACACCGTTGGGTTACGGCTAGCTCGGTGGGATAATGGTTAAGCGCTCGCGCGTGAGACTGCTAGATCCTGGGGTTCGAATCTCGCGGTAGATGGGATCGTGGATGCACACTGTTGAAGAAAGCCATGCTAGGACGAAACGGCCGTCCAGTACTTTCAGGTTTTCCATGATGGTCTAGCTTTAATTGACTCGTGATCTCAACTATTAAAATAATAATAATGAATAATGAATAATCAGAAATACATGATAACAATAAAGACAATATTTATACTTACATTACCACTTATTCCAGATCTATATAATATAGGATTAGCTAATAAAGTTTTATCATCTAATGGATTATCCCAAATACCCATAATAAATGGTGGTAAACCAGTCATTGTAACACTAAATAATATTTGTGATAATTGATCAATTGCATTACTACCCGAAAAACCATTGAACATTTGAAACCAGAATAAGAGAAATATATAAATCTATAAAATAACAAAGAATTATTTCTTTTTTTAATAAAATTAATTTAAATAAAGAATATATTTAGTACATATATATTCGGCACTCCTCAGCAATGAGCATCCCTGATCCTACATCGCAGGACTCGAACCCAGTGCATATCGGTCTCATGCGCTAGCGCTTCACCTCTAAACCACTGAGCCGGTATCTAACGCTGTTAATGTCTAACTTCAACAAATCCATGAAATTGAACGACATATCCAAAATTGTCATCAGTGAGTTACTATCTCACAACAGACTTGGCTGAACTCCACTGGTCATTGCTTCTCACTAGAACACTAGGAAATACCTTTTGAAGCCAGATACTAGTGAGAATATGTTGATTAATATCAGAATGGGGGTTTTGTGGATATTATAGTAATTTCATTTGTTGAGATCATGAGTCAAGTATCAAGTATCCCTGCATAATAGATTATCCGTTATCTGTTCAAAAAAGACGTACGAAATAATATGACTATGGTAATAAAATTAACTATTTGTTACCAAATTCAATGAAATACAGTATTTATTGAAAGTAGACTTTTCATTAGACGTTTAAAGTACCACTTTTCGATTTGTTTTACAGTAGAAAGAGAGATAGAGGGAGAATCGAATATATTTCACTTAACTTGGTAAACAACTGAGTTCTTATGGAATACTTATCTAAGTTTTCTAAAAGTTTCAGTCGGTGTAATTGACACTCATTAGTTGAATTCTGTCAATTTGAACTCACGCATATATGTGCCAGGTGTTTACGTTGCTTATGATTGAGTAACTGACATATATATATATATATATATATATATATATATATATATATATATTGTCGCTGACCTTTCGTTCCGTTTGCCGATTTAGATATTCTCGTAATCTCTTCAAACATAACAGCGAGTGAGAGTATATTGAGCAAATTTATATTTCAAAGGAACTGTTGAAAAGTCCCACAGTAGGACGAATGGCTGTTCAGTGTTTCTAGGTTTTCAATGGTGATCTGACATTTATCGGTTTATGAGTTTAATGGAAAATATATATGGTGGTCTAGCTTCAATTGACTCATGATCTCAACCATTGAAATTACTATAATATCCACAAAACCCCCATTCTGATATTAATCAACATATTCTCACTAGTATCTGGCTTCAAAAGGTATTTCCTAGTGTTCTAGTGAGAAGCAATGACCAGTGGAGTTCAGCCAAGTCTGTTGTGAGATAGTAACTCACTGATGACAATTTTGGATATGTCGTTCAATTTCGTGAATTTGTTGAAGTTAGACATTAACAACGTTAGATACCGACTCAGTGGTTTAGAGGTGAAGCGCTAGCGCACGAGACTAGTAGGTCCTGGGTTCGAATCCCGCGATGTAGACGCGCACTGCTAAAGAGCCCCACACTAGAACGAAATGGCCATCCAGTGCTTCCAGGTTTTCGATGATGGTCTATCTTCAACTGACCATTGAAATTACTATAATATCCACAAAATCCCATCTGATAATATTTTTTAAATGTTAAAAAAATATCTATTACTTTTAAAATCTTAAAGTAATATGCTATATCATTTAGATAGTCTAGTATTGATCTATTTTTGTAGTATCCCTTGACCAAATTCATAAGTAGTACTGCAGTGAACACGAACACCAATGGGGACAATCGAATGTATTTAGGCACATAATTACAGAGCATCTCAATAAAGTCTAAGAACCATGTAGTAAATCGTTAATTTGCAAAATATCAATCCATCATATCAAACTTGACTGTTCCTGTTGCAAACATCAGTCCATTGTCTCAGATTTCATTGTTCATGCATTTTCATACGAATTGCGTTTCGTACCCGTTCTTTCCTCATCGACCTTCTACTGTACTACATCCTATGCCTGACCACCGTCATATACTACTTGTGTGGATATAAGTAACCCACACCACACTACTACTACTACCTTCTTTTACTTTCTTTTGTTGGATTTCTTTAACAGAAAATTCGTTTTCAATCTTTTTTTTGGAACATCAATAATTTAGCTAAAACCTGTACAGCATTGATCTTTCCAAGAAGGACTTTTATGAAAGAGGATCAATTGAACATATTTCACATTATTTAAAATGTTATTCCTTATTTCAATGATCACCTTTATTAATGTATGCCTTTTTGACTGAATAAAATACTGTATAAAGAAATTATAATATAAGAATATGATAATACTATTACCATTACTATTATTGCTACTGTAGTGAATAAGAACACGGGTGTGGACAATCGAATGTATTTAACAACAAATTACAGAAGTACTTAGTAAAATCTAACAACCATATAGCAAATGCTGAATTTGCAAAATGTCCATCGATTGTCTCAAATGACTCAAACTTCCTTTAATCTTACATTTTCATACAAATTGCAGTCTGTCTTCATTCTTTACTGTTCGATCTTCTTGTCTCTCTGCTGCCAGATATTCTGTTCACGACTAACATCATATACGACTTATGTCTACATAAGTAGCACACCACATTACTACTACTACTACTACTACTACTACTAATAATAATAATAATAATAATAATAATAATAATAATAATAATAATATGGAATATTCATTAAAATTATATTCACTTACTGCATCTTTATAAAATAAATACAAAGAAGCATGTGCAAGTTTATCATAACACCAATGTCCATGTACAAGTAATAATTGTTTAAGTAAATAAAATCGACTAATAGCAAAATCTGATGCCATAACAGCTTGCATACCTTCTTCACCACTATTAATACCAATTCCAACATTAGCTACTTGTATCATATTTACATCATTTGCACCATCACCAATAGCTAACGTTTGAGCATTTAATTCATGTTTAACTAAACTAACAACAGCGGCCTAAATAAATTTAAACAAAAAATTAATTATCAGAAGGAGTTTTGTGGAGATTGTAGTAATTTCAATGGTTAAGATCATGAGTTAGTTGAAGCTAGACCACCATGGAAAACCTGAAAGCACTGGACGGCCGTTTCGTCCTATTGTGGGACTCTTCAGCAGTATGCATCCACGACCTCGCCACCTCCGAGATTCGAACCCAGGACCTACTGATTTCCCGCGCGAGCACTTAGCCACTAGACCACTGAGCCGGTATCCAGTGGTGTTAATGTCTAGCCAATAAGATCAAACGGCCGTCCAGTGCTTCCAGGTTTTCCATGGTAGTCTAGCTTCAACTGACTCATGATCTTAACCATTGAAAAAATTTGTTATCAGATATAATATTCTCATTTTTATGTATAATGATAAATTTAAATCGAAATATTTCTAGAAGATTGATATGATGATTTACTTACTTACGCTTGTTACCACTGGTGAAGGAGCATAGGCCTGTAAAGGCTAGTATCCTCTATGTCTGACTTCAATAAATAGTATCCCGTTAACTGAGTATTTAATGCAGACTAAATCTCTCAGTAGAATTGTGGATTTACTCGAGATCATTCAAAAGCCACAATACCAGTTATAGAGATAGTTTATTGTCAAAGATTGGCAAAATCCACAAGAACACAGGAAAACCAAGAGTGTGTGTGTGAGTGTTAAAAATCCATATATATTTTTGAGTGTTAATCAAGTATGGATAAATTATTGATTGTCTGTGTATTACAACCAATGGGAGAATAGATTGAAAATCAATGTGCAGAAATGTGTTCAATCAGACTCACACAGAAAATTACACAGTGGATTAAGTGTCTAAATTAAAGTGAGCAGATAAATAATACAATAGTTGAATGAGCCTACTACAGGTCACTCACCAGTATTCTTCATCCAACTCTGTCCTAAGCAATACCCTCCAGTTTGTTCCAGTTGTAATTCATACTTTATATGTATTGTTCCAATTCTAGGTACACTGTGTTCTTTGGTCTTTTTTTTTGTTTCCCTTCAGGATCCAAACTAACGGATTAACTAGTGATGTAGTTTGATGGTTCACAAAATGCATGTCTTATACACCGCCAGGGTCTTTTTATTAATTCTTTCTTCAGCTCGAAGGTGCTTGGTTCTCTCCCAAAGTAGGTTATTGCTGGTAGTATCTGGTCAACGTACATTTAGTATCTTGCGTAGACAGTTATTCATAAATACTTTTTTGAAGATGGTTGTCGTAGTTCTCGACGTTTCAGCTTCGTACAGTAGAACTGTCTTGATGTTCATATTCAAGATTTTCACATTGATATTGGTTGGCAGTCATTTTGAGTTTTAAATGTCTTTCGGTTGTGGAAGTGCCTCTCTTGTCTTGCCAATTCTCACCTTTACGTCTGCATTGAATCCTCCTTGTTCATAGATGATGATGCTATCCAGGTACGTGAAAGTTTCCACATCTTTCAGAACTTCTCCATCAAATGCGACTGGGTTGGTGTTCTACATGTTGTATTTGAGAATCTTGCTTTTGCCCTTGTATGTGTTGATGCCTAATGTCTCAGAGACTGCTGCTACACTAGTTGTCTTCATCTGCAATTGTTCGTATGTATGGGATAGAAGAAGCAGGTCATCTGTACACAATGCACCAACAAGAAACTGATTGATTACAGTCCTAACACATCAATGAGAAGACACTGCAGTGAACAAGAACACCAATGGGGACAATCGAATGTATTAAGGCACTTGATTACAAAGCATCTCAATAAAATTTGAGAATCATATATCAAATCATTAATTTGCAAAATACCAATCCATCATATCAAACTTGACCGTTTCTGTTGCAAACATCAATCCATTGTTTCAGATTTCATTGTTCATATGTGTTCACATAAATTGTATTGTGTTTCCGCTCTTCCTTTCTTGATCTTCACCCCATCTTCTGCTGCCAGACATTACGTTCCTAGTTCGCGTCATCTACTACTTATATCAATATAAGTAACACGCACCACAATACAAATAAAAACAATAATAAAATCAATGCAAATTACCTTTTGTCCAGGAGTTGATCGACAACATATAATATTTGCACACATATCACATAATTTAATAAATTGTGATTTATTTCTTTCATTATTTAATACATAATTTAAACTTTCACCATCAATTACTAAAGCTAATGGAATATGATTATCTATATTATGATTATTGTTACTATGCCTTTTATAATTAGTTTGTTTACGTTTAGAATGATGATGTTGTTGTTGCCTTGTCAACAAACGATAATATTTAAGAAATTTTGAAAAATTAAAAAAATTTTTTTGTTTTGTTTTATTATTATTATTATTATTATTATATTCATGAAAATAAGTAATATCACGTGGTAATGAAGATGGTTTTTGTGTAGGTATAATACGTACACGATGTATAGTACGACTACGATGTGGTGAATGTGAAGAAGATCGATGTAAATTGGATTTTCTTTTCGATTTATGATTTATTTGATGGTTTCTGTTGTTTTGTTGTTGACAATTAGAATAACGTGGATTAGTAAATTTTTCAAGTTTATCATCTAATTCATTTGAACAATTCCAAAATTGTCCACTAATAATATTATATAAATATGAATTTAAAAGATATTCTGTACGAGCCTAAAAATAATATGAAAAAGATAATATGATTATGTGAAATAATTGACTAGTTAAAATTAAGATCATGAATTGATCATTATTGAAAACCTGGAAACACTGGATGGATGTTTCATCCTATTGTTGGATTCCTCAGTAGTGTACATTCACGATCCCGCTTGTGGGATTCAAATCAAGGGCCTTCAGTCTCACGTGCAAAAACGCTTAACCAACTGAACCACTGAGTCGGTATCCAATGCTGTTAATGTCTAATGTCTAGTGATACATGAACAAATTTATAGTTTGTAAAACTTGATTAATATTAAATTGGTCATTATGATAAAGGTGATATTATGTAAACAACAAAATTTTGGAAATGAGAAACAGAAATTCCCCGCCTCCTCCCCAAATGCCCTGATACGACCGAGGTTGGGGAGGGTCCGCTTTTCTTTTTCCAAATGCTCTCACACAGTCATGCGTATAAAACCACTATCAGGGAAGTCTTACTCACTTACCTTCTAGTGGTAGTGGGGTGTTGTTTACGAAATAAAGAGGACGAAAAGTGAATATTTAGTGCTTTAACTGAGTTGATGGACAAAGAGGGTCCATCTAGGGGAGTTGGTAAACGCTTATTACAAAACAAATGGTGGACATGTGCTCTAGGATCCTGAGGAAAAAAATGGCGTGTGAACCTATTATTAGTCACCGGCTACCATGAGACTGCATCTCCTAAAGTTGTTTCCCTACCTTGCAGATTAGACCTCCATGTCAAAGGCTACTAAAACCAGCTGCTGTGGTTTGGGCACCTACGCAGTATTCCAGCCGTCACATAAATCGAATTATTTATGTGGTACATATATATTTGGTGCCTCGTTGTACCAATATTTCCGTGTTCAAATACATAAAATAACTATTTTCAATGAAGTGATTTTGTGAAAATCATTATAAGTTGTAGGTGCTATTTGTGGTTTAATAATCTCAATTAGCGTACCGTTGAAAGCTATGAGCCACCGAACAGGTGTTTCTTTCAAGTATGAGATTACTCAGGGATGCGCACCTCAGATATTTTCGGAGGCCGAACGTACAATCCTCAGGTCATGTGGAGATTTATTAGTTATCAAACCAGTAGGTTGTGGTTTAGTAGTACACTGTTTCAACTTCAATCAATGATCCAGCGTCGTTTCGAATGTAACTGGATGATAAGACTTACGATCGTTTTGCTTAGTATTTCAAAAGAAAGGCACGCTTAGGATTACGCTACTTGTAAAAATTCAACTTTATAAAGTCTTATGACAAAGAACAATATCAAGGCAATCCGCGGAGGATGCACAAATGACAATAAATACTAGTCTTAACATCGATAACAGAATAATGTAAACACATACCAAAACAGTTAGTCCCTTTGATAAGAAGACAAAGATTATCAGAACCATATAACATATTAGCACAATATGTATCGAACAATCTGATCACATACATACTTATTAAGCATATTTTATAAATGCACCGACACAGTACAAATCACATTTGAAAGCAATGACGTTCAATGGACACACGGGGTTGTTATGGTCAGTCCTTTAGAATAATTATTAGCCTATGTGTTTATGTCAAATGTTGTAAGCTTAGCTGAAGTCCTAATGGGAATAAATATGCCTTTATAAGAGATAAAAGGATGATAACTTAGTTATCTAAGATAAGATGGAACATGCAAATTGTTTGTTGAATAAATTTAACACACCAAAACCACGTCAGTCTATCATGTGAACAGAAGAATAACCAGCCTACTATCCTAGATGTACTTAAAAGTAGAAAAGAAGATGGTTCAAATAAAAATGACCCGTTTTTAAAAAGCCAACTTGGACAAATCAGCATCTTAATTTTTTATAGTTGTTGTACAGTTCAGTACAAAAAAGCTTGGTAAAAGGCTTACTGAATAGGATTAACCATATGACATTATCAAGAATGTGGTTACTAAACAAAACTTTGATGCAGAGTGATTATACTTTAACATTCATAAATCGATTGATAGATCACATTAAGGTGAGAACTATAATTTTAGCACCAAGGTAGTCTACCCACATCACCTTACCGTTTAGATGTAAGTCAAATAGCCTTGTGTTGAAACAAGCCCCCAAATGCCCTGGTACGGCCGAGAGTGGGGAGAGTTCGCTCTCCCTCTCGAAATACTCTCACATGACCACGCGTATATAGCCTCTGCCAGGGAAGTCCTACTCACTGCATTGTTGCACCACGGGTGTTGTTTACGAAAATGAGAGGATGAAAAGCGAATGTCCGGCGCTTTAACGGGACTCCAAACCAATGGTCCACATGGGCTCCAGTATCTTGAAGGAACAAATGGTATATGAACCAATCGTTGGTCACTGGCTACCACGGAAATGCATCTCCTTACGATGCTCCACTGCCCTGTGGATTAGACCTTTAGATCAAAGGCTCGGTTTGTGGCCCTCTAAGCAAACCAACCGCTTCGGTTTAGGCACCCATGCAGTATCATAGCCCTCACATATATCAAATGAGATCTGTGTGGCGCATATGTATTTGGTGCCTTCTTGTACCAATATCTATGTGTCTTGAAACAAAAGCTCAAATCAGATGTTGGTAAAACGTGCTATGCAGTAAAGATCATTATCATTGAATAAACAACGCCTATGCTTTACCAAATTACATGTAAAAAATTAAATCACATTTACATGTGTATGATCTCATATAAGTTGGGAAGAGTAGTCAAGATTTACATGAAATGGGTCTTTGAACATGTACCAAAATTGTTAAAGAATCAAATAGGAGAAAGCGATTCAATAAGAGTAGATGATAAACATACATTTTCCTCTATTGCGAAACATATAAGTAAAGTAGACGATAAAATTGATCTTAACTCAGAATTGATAGTTTTTCTACAGAAAAATTGTCTAGGGTGTATATGTCGTATGGAAAATTCAAACCCTATTTGTGTATTCAAAAAGTTTGTTCAACCTTGTTAATATTGATTTATTATAGAGCATGGTGTATTTCCCATTGTTTTCTCATATTATTTTCCTTAACTAAACCATCCAGCTTAGAGAACAAAATTCCATCAAAATCATCTACCTGAACTACAAATCTTTTCAACCATCACAAAATCATATGAGCGTAATACGCTTCTCGTTGTTTGAAAATGGGAGAATTTCGCCAAAAGGCAGGCTTCCACTCAAGAACAACTGTATTTTCTTCATGAGTATCTTCGCCAGCATACTCTACCAACAAGTGTAAGATATAGACCTCCAATCAACTGCCAATTGAGATGGAGAATAGCTGAGCAAAGTGGAAGAAAAATGGTACACCTAATGATAACGGATGTACACTACAAGATCCGCAAATACACGACCAAACCATTCAGCTCAGAGAACAAAACTCCATCGAAATTTCCTTGACCTTTCATTCGTCTAGTTGATCTTTTATTTTTTCATAATATATACAAGTATGTATGTGATTAGATTATTTTAAATATATTTTTCTGATATATATTGCATAATTCTGATCATCTTCATTCTTTCATCATATAACCCTGTGAGGACGGCCCACGGGTAAACTCGAGGTAGCTCTAAGAAGCTCAGAAAGAGCCGATGATATTCCAGCCAATCATCTTTTGGAAGAATATTCCAGAACCGCTATGTGTAGCTTCCCTATTGGACAATGCTAATAGCCCCCTGTGTGCGGATTGGATAACTATAATGATGATTTCGATTTTACTAAAAACTATAAATACCTGACAGTTTTGTAGCATAATTGACACTGGTTGGAATAACATTTCTTTCACTTGTTTTCTGTCTTTTCATTTACGACTTGGGAGGGTTCTAGAGTTCCAGTACTCAAGTTATACGCGACATATCAAGATTATAAGCTCTAGATATAACAAATCCAAACTCGCAAACTAATTAGCACTTTTCTTTATTAATAATATGAATAGTTAAGGAGGAATTCTCTTTTTTACACTTCATTATATAACTTTTTGATCACTAAGTATTGACCAATGTAATGAATGTGAAATCCTTCTCAGCACTTATCAAATCCTATTGATCAAGTTGCAATGTGAAACCACGTGAAAATACATTGAGATGTAAGGTAGTGATGGTGATGGTTAGAGGAAATCATTAGAAACCCGGGAGCATCAAATTCGCCCTCAAGATTGTAGGTACACATTGCCGATAGGTGGCAAATGAAATGAAAACTAGGTCAAGTAGTATTTCTCGTCAACTATCTCCAATCACCATTTTACATTTCCGTTTAGTTTTCTGAACATTATCATTCCACTAAAGTAGATCAACAAACATGAATTTTCGTATGTGTATGTTTGGCGCGGTATCAAGCGATTAGAACGAAAAGGAAGTATTGTGTCTATAGATACTATTTAACACGATGTTCTTAAGATCTACCGAAGATTTATAATAATTCAGTGATCTAAATCTGTATATCATGAGTGCTCCATGTTTTTAACCGATGTTAAAGGTCTCCTTATGTCATCAGTTAAATAATGATTCTGCAAAATGTGATCTATTCAACTTAGGAGTAGCTAAGAATATATGGAAAAAAAATTAATGATCTTCGTTCATTATTCACGATAAGTTAATGTATGTTAGAAATGTTCATCCTGTTATCAACTAATATCAACAACTAAGCTTTTTACATTCAGCTATTCTGAGTTGAAAATTCGTAGTTATTTTGTTTCATTGAAGTTGCATGGATAGAGAATTGGAAGGATTTTCATATTTCATATATATAATGGAATAGTATAAATATTATTATGATTAGAAGTTTACTAGGATAACATTTAAATCTAGAATTAAGCAGACGAAATGAAAGTTCACATAGATTATTATTTCAATGGTTGAGATCATTAGTTAATTGAAGCTAGACCATCGTCGAAAACCTGGAAGCACTGGGAGGCCGTTTTGTTCTATAGTGGGACTCCTCAGCAGTGCGCATTCATGATCGCGCACTCGGGACTCGAACCCAGTACCTCCTTTCTCGCGCGAGAACGCTTAACCTCCAGACCACTGAGCCGGTATCCAACGGTGTTAATATCTAACTTCAACTAATTTTTATTGTTTAATTTGTATCTAAACACTTAAATGAAAACCATATAGTGTGAACAATCATTCTGTTAATAAACAGCATACCTCTGAATGTGAATTAATATACATTACTCTATGTTGTGATGTAATCAGGTTAGCTGAACGAGCAATATTCACTGCAGTCTCTTGTTTATCACCTGTTAACATCCATACATGCATACCAGCTTCACGTAATGCGTCAATAGTTTCTGGTACACCATTTTGTAAACGATCTTCTATACCTGTAGCACCTAGGAGATTATAATTCAAAATAAGAATATAATGTTATATAAATTCGGAATGGATGGTGGAATAATAATACAGCATTTAGGGTGGAAAAACCACCAAATCAGTTATTATGGTCTTTCATTTGATTCACTTATATTACTCGCTTTCCATAGTTATACAAAGTGAGAGAATTGATGCGGGTGTGAAGTTTTGACCCTAAAATCCAATGAACTCAGGTACAGTAAAACCTTCGTCCAGAGTCTCCCAAATACGGGATGGTGAATTGTCTTCTTCGAATCCACCGGTTGTCGCCGGCCGAGCTGTTTAATCATTGAAGCACGATAGCAGATGGTCGTAATGGTCTCCGATTGCTATATTTTGTAGGTACGACGTGTTGCCAGTCAGATCAACAATGCCTGGAGACTACATAAGGTTATTCGGTATGGATATTGTGGTAGAATAACTACTATTAAAATAAACTGCAAGAACTTCAATCGAACCATCAAGTCTAATGGTAGCCGGTGACCAACAATAAGTTTATACAGCATTTGTTCTCAGGATCCTTGAGCTGATTTGCACCACTGGTTTGAAATCAGTATTTTCCAACTCCCCTAGATGGTCCTCCGTGTCCACAAACCCGGTCAAAGCGCTAAACATTCGCTTTTCGTCCTCTCTATTTCTTAAACAACATCTTAAACCAGACCAGCGAAATCTGTGTGAAGTCTCTCCCAGGGTTCTAAAGGCTGTGGTTCGCATTTTGGATGCTTTTTAGCAGCTTGCAGATACGATGAACAGTTGGGGCATTTTTTCCGATAAATCTGTCCATTGGAGGCCAATGAGGGTAACTTTGAGCCAACGATTTCGTCATAGCATTGGACTCCTCAGCAGTGCGCATCTACGATACTTCACTCGGGACTCCGACCCAGTACCTCCGATCTCGCGCGCAAACGCCTAACCTCCAGACCACTGAGCTGCCATCCAACGGTGTTAGTGTCTAAATAATTCGAACACTGATAAACGTCTAACAAATAATCCTTGAAAACCTTTGTTATTAATGAGATTTTATCTGAACGGTAAAATGATGATGAAACGTTTGGCAGGTGAAACTCAACAGATTGATTTAGATTCTTTTAAGTCATAAATAATATTTTACATAATAATTATTTAAATTTCTCGAATGAACATTTATAGCGTTCATGTTCCCAACAAGGTTCAAAATGAGAGTTATAGTGATTGACTCCATCAAGTTTTAAATGTGAATACTAGGTTAATATATCAGCTTCCAATAGGGTAAAACTAATTTTTCAGAATTTCATGCTAGTCTAGAGCCCCTCTGGGGCCACTGTCGGTCTCAAGACCGCATAAAGCAGAAGGGTTGGGTATAGTGTTAGCGACCTCATCCCGTAGAAAACCAACTTGCTAAAAAACGCTAACCAGAAAAAATGCTAGTCATTTGTAAATATTAGTGGAAATTCAAATCTTTCAACAAGTGATCTAAACATGATCTAGTTATGAACTGTTCATTAGAAATATTTTATAATTACTAATGATAGAGAGTAAGTTTAAAATGAGTTCTTCAAACAGTATCGAGAAGGTATAACAAAAAACTTTAAAATTAAACGATAAATACTAGTGAAGTGTTATGTGAAGTTTGATTTAATTTATAAGTGGAATTCTTTACAAATTGAATTCAGTTAAGATCTCACTGAAAACTAAAGAGCATCGAGTAGCTATTTCAACCATGTTTTGGGACATATTTGCATTGCGCACATACGACCCCTGAAAGGATCGAAACCAGAACTTTTAAAACTATCGATAATCACTTGATCACATTTAAACTGAGGTTAGTTTATGAAAAATACCATCCACCAATTAAATTATTAGAAGTAATAAATATCCTGTTTCAATTGTAGGCCAAGCATAAGAAGTGATTATCACTGGTGGGAAATGTATCTGTCTGTTAAAGCTGATGTCATAACCAAATCCTTATTGTTTATAAAAGTTGATGCAGACGTAAATGCGAGGACTGACAAAGCAAGGGTCTCATTCCTACAATTGAAAAACATATGGAACTCAAAACTACTGCCTTTCAACCAATATCAAAGTCACAATCTTCAATATGAACGTCAAGGCAGTTCTACTGTACGGAGCTGAAACTTCGAAAACTACTACAACCATCGTCAAGAAGGTAAATGTATTTATAAATAGCTGTCTACGCAAGATACTCAACATCCATTGGCCGGATACCATCAGCAACAGCCGACTGTGGGAAAGAACGAACCAACTTCTAGCTGAAGATGAAATTAGGAAAAGACGCTAGAAATGGATAAGATATAAATTATGGAAATCATCAAACTGCATCACGATGCATGCGCTAACTTGGAATCCTGAATGAAAGTGGAAAAGAGGAAGGCTGAAGAACACATTACATCGGAAAATAGAAGTAGATATGAAAAGGATAAGAAACAACTGGAAAGAGCTGGAAAGGATTGCCCAGGACAGGGTTGGATGAAGAATACTGGTGAGCAGCCTTTGTTACATTACGAGTAACAGGTGTAAGTAAGTAAAGTAAGTAATCATAAAAGTTGATAAGTCAAAGACTACAATTGGCATAGCTTATACCGATCCTCTAAGAAATTATGTACAGTTCCTGATTGTTGCAATAATTCCAGCAAAGTATGGAGTGTACTAATCCTCATTTGTACTAATTACAATGGTTACACAACAGTTAAGTTTATAAATAAAATTTGTTTACTTACCTAAAAGAATAAAATTACGCTCTAACTTGTCCATCATTATCATCATAGCTTCTGTTGAATTTTCATTTCCAGTTTCTATTTCATAGACTTCTTTTAACCATTCTTGAAGTTCCTCTTCTGTCAATAACTATAGCAAAGAAAAGACTGGTAAAAAGCTATGATATGTAGATATATAATGAACTGTATGGAAATAATCCTATAAGCAGAAAACCTGTAAACAGATAAAAACTGATATAGATACTGTAAAACATCAGGATAATAGAATATAATTGGTTAATGACCTTAGTAGAAATCTACAACTGAAGAATATCTGAAACTCAAAACAACTGTCTGTCAACCAACACCAAAGTCAGAATTTTCAATACAAATGTCAACACAGTTCTACTGTATGTGGTGGAAACCTGGAGAACTAACAAAGCCATCATCCACAAGATACAAGTGTTCATTAACAGCTGTCTACGCAAAATACTTCGGATCCGTTTGCCAAACACTATCAGCAACAACCTATTGTGGGAGAGAACAAACCAGATCCCAGAGCAGGAGGAAATCAGCAAAAAGCGTTGGAAGTTGATAGGACATACATTGAGGAAAGCACGCAACTGCATCACAGGACAAGCCCTCACATGAAATCCTCAAGGTCGAAGGAGGAGAGGAAGACCAGAGAACACATTATACCGAGAAATGGGGACAGACATGAGAAAAATGAACATAAATTGGATAGAACTAGAAAGAAAGACCCAGGACACAGTAGGTTGGAGAATGCTGGTCAGCGGCCTATACTCTATCAGCAGTAACAGGCGTAGGTAAGTAAGAAATCAATTAAAAACCTATAAAACTGGTGCAGATACACAATCATATTTCATCAAAGGAATTCTGAAATTCTGGCTACTTCCATCGTTTTTTATTTCGGACTAAAGATTTTCTTGTAGAATATAATTTCTTTCTATACTTATTGATTATCATTTCAGGAGCTATAGTAGGGTTTGTCAATTTGAATTCGAGCACTTTTGTAGATGGTACCGTTTATTAAATTTGTTTGAATAATCGATTCACAAAACTGTTCAAAACAAATCACTGTTGTATGTTGTTTCGGTACTTGAAATACGAGATAAGGTGATTATAATATAAAGTCTTTTTATAAAAAAATATTTCCAGAATGGAGGGTTGTGGAGATTGTAGTAATTTTAATAGTTGAATTCATGATTTGATCTAACCTGGACCACCATTGAAAATCTGGAAGCACTTGATGGCCGTTTCGTCATAGTATGGAACTCCTCAGCAGTGCGCATTCATGGTCACGCACCAAAATAGACTCAAATCCAGGATCTTAGATCTCGTGCGCTAACGCGAGAGTCCAACCATGTTGGATATGGGATAGCTATCCACCGTAAGCAATGAATGAAAGGTTGGGCAAGATCATAGATCGATTGAAGTTAAACATTAACACGATTGGATGCTGGCTCAGTGATATAGAGCTTAACCGTTTGCGCCTATGGGATCGTGGATGCGCACTGCCGATGAATTCAATACTAGGACGAAACAGCCGTCAAGTGCTTCGAGGTTTTCAGTGGTGGTCTAGCTTAGGTCGATTCATGAATTCGACTATTAAAAAAATATTTGTTTATATTTCGGTGGAATAAATGCCCTTACAAAGCGAATTCATGAATCGAGAGATTTTTATAAAATAATAGGTTAGGAGAAAATTAACAAAACGTATTTTGTGGCGGTTGGAACATTCAAGATATATCATTCAGCAGATTACAGAACACTTATTGGTATAAGTAACATGTGGTAGTGAAAGTGAAATATGATTGGTCACTGTGAATAAACAAACAGGTACTTAGGACTATGGACTATTCAATAAATAATTTCCTTTCGGCTTATTGATTTCAACTCCAGACTCACTAAGTGTGATTGCGCGTAACTGTGTCGAATAAAGTATTATTTAATCTTAATATAGTTCCCTATTCTGGGTCGTGAATCCTGGATCTGATTTAACATGATCTGGTCTCATTATTGTATTAACGTATTATCGTAGTATACCTGAGAGAGAGGGAAAAAGTATTTTAAAACCATGCGTTATATCAATAAGACAGTTCATTCTGACTAATTCCTGACTTTATGAGAGCATACATTAACTACTCCAAACATTGTTGAACCTACAATATTTCCGATTTTCTGAGGTTATAGTACTATTGAGGCATCTGGGAATCTACCCGTCGAAATGTCACGATTACCATTTATTCTCGTTCACAATTAGATAGTTGATATAAAATACTCGTCTTGGAAAAAGTCACCAAAGGGTAGTGGATAATAAAAGATAATGAAATTAGTTGCAGGTAAAAAGTTTTAATCAAGAGTTGAACAGAGATATAGTCGGTGTATTACCAGGAGCATGTATTTACATCCACAATAGATCGATGATGCATACTTTATAAGAGTTTACATATTAAAATATGGGCGTTCAATCATCTCTTATTTTCGTTGCTTTTCCACTAATCTCAGTTCAAAGTGAACACTACTTTATCAGTGTGTATGGTAATATACGATGTTGACATTTCCTGACAATGAAAAGCATTTTCTGCAAAGCATCCAAACAATCAATCTCCTGATGCAATAAAATGATCATGTCCACGTCGGATAAGAAGAAAATACATTACATAGACCGTCGTCGAATTTAATGTATACTTTAATAGAAACCAACTAGATGATTAGATGGTAAACTGATGGTTACATCTCAAAGCATTATGTTTAAAGGTAGTTGGTTAAAAATGGGACTTCCTCGAATAACAACATCGGATTTATTGTGGTGTATACTACTTATACTTAAAACTACGTATATTGTCAATGTAGAAGTAATTTGAGTGAATCATGGCTTTGTCTAGAAGTTTTAGGAAAGAGATGTTTGGATTTGATTTGCATATATATTTTCTTCATCTGAATGAGTTGTTTTCATGACTATGTTGACTTATTAAGCTGAAACTTATTGTTTGAATTTAGAATTATTTTGATTCAATGGGTTGATAAATCAGAACGTAGATCTTGAAGTCGTTAGCACATTGTAACTAACAAACTTCAGTTGAAATTGAGATCTATACCTAAGAAAAACTGTTCTGATCCAATCAATTAGTTACTTAACTGACTTTTCTTGTTTGATTAAACTGTTCAATTTCGTTTACTTATATATCTATATAGTAAGTTAAAATCTACGCTATGACTTAGTGTTATTATAACTCGAAGCTCGCCCCCAATGGCTTAATACGGTCAAGGGTGAAGAAGGTCCGCTCTCCCTCTCGAAATCCTCTCACATAGGCACGTATATACAGCCACTGACAAAGAAATACTACTCACTACTTTCTTGCGGTGAAGGTGTTGTTTACAAAATCGAGAGGATGAAAAGCGAATATCCGGCACTTTAACTGGGTTATTGGACATGGAGGATTCATCTAGGGGAGTTGGAAAACACTGATTACAAACTAATGGTGCACATGGGCTCTATGGTCTTAAGGGAACAAATAAACTATGAACCTATTGTTGGTCACCGGCTACCATGAGATTGAATTTCCTTACGTTGCTCCACTGCCTTGTGGACAAGACCTATAGGTTGAAGGCTTGTGGAATGGTCCTCTATGAAAACCACCTGCTTCGGTCTGGGCACCCGGACAGTAACCCATCCCTCACACAAACCAAATGATTTGTGTGGTGCATATATATTTGGTGCCCCTTTGTACCAATGTTTATGTGTTTAGATAAATAAATACCTCGTAATAAACCTTTTAATTAATTCGAAATCTTCAGAATTGTATAAATTAAACCTTGTTCACCTTTACAAAGAATATTTAAATCAAGATGATCAATTATTCAAAGATGGTATTCATTTACTGTAATTACACAATATGTGCCAGTCAACTGGACTGGAGCTCTAACTACATGGATCAATGCCTTAATTTTCAAATGAATCCATATTCAATCAAAAGGCTATATGATTGAATCACATTTCATCTGCACTGGTTGAGAGACCCAGATAAAGTCGTTAGTTGTCATATAATGCATGACTTACAACTAAGTTCATGTACTCAATAAGTCAGTAAAATTAAAGTTGATAATACATTCACTAGAGAGAACTAATGAAATTCATCAGTCATTCAGTCAATAACAACGTAGAACTTTATACGTACGTATGTACATCAGTTCGAGTTGCCATACCACATTACCACAGAGATTCAGTTGTCGATTCAAATCTCATAGTGATAAAGGTAGTAAAAGTATAAGCAGTAATCGGAAAGATTATGGTTTGAAGATGTTATTCAAGGAGTCTAACTCAATGAAATAAACTTGGAAAGACGAAAAAGAAGGGACATGAAGAATTCAGAAGATTAGAATGTGGTAGAACACAAAGAGTGGATGCACCTGAGCCATTGCAAATGATTTTGAGCCATGTCATTCAATGTCTCTAACCATCGGTTGCTATCATCTCACAGGCAATAAATACATGAAGTTATTATCCAAAGTAAAATGGACTAATTTTGCTGAATAGTAACTTCTATTCAGATTCAACAAGTGAATTCAATACAGACTAAAAACAAAATCATCACAAAAGAGACGAACCAAACAAATCAAATATAACATAATAATAATACTTACTCGTTCAGCTATAACTAGTGTCCTTAATCCCATACGTGAATAATGATCGATTTGTTCCTGTGTAGCAGTTATTATTTCACGTGAATTTAACCCTTGAAAACAAAACAAGATTTAATCTTATTAGTTATACACACATATATAGAAATAAGGTACAAGAAAGTTTGTAGATTATAAAAGAAATCAAAAAGTCAATTAAACTTAATAATGAGAACTTGGGAGGCTACACAAAACATTTACATAACTATTGAAAACCAGAAAACAATGAATGATTATTTCATTCATGTATTGAACTCTTCAATAATGACCATCTACTACTCCAGTAGAGGTCAAGCCTACAACCTTAAAACTTCGTGATAAACACTTAACATTCATCAACAAAAATAACACGTCTGTATGTTTTGTTTTATATACATTATCACTTCAACTTACAGTTGTGATTATGATGATATGAATGTCAGGAACTCTTACTGAATTCAAGTTCATTGAATGGCTTTAAATCTATCTTCTGAATATAAGACCATTGTGAGGGGAAAGAATCTTTTCTATAAGTTAGAATCTGGAATTGTTTGGTATACAAATAGAACACTCCAGACCTCATCGCTTTTGTTCATTCAGATCTAAACAATTCAACTTACAAAATTTAATATAATTATTCTTTCGATTTACATTCCAGTAAACAACAAAAGTATGAATTCGTATGTGCCAGCCTTCAACAAACTAAATGAACTACACTTAATTTTAAATCCATCAACTATCATGATTAACCATGAATATTTAGCATTTCATGAGTACACTCAAATACAATTCAAGAAAGTCACATGTTCCATTTGGTCCGACATTTATGGTGGAGACAACATCAATTAACAAACCTTCAAAAACTTATATGATATATAAAGATTTCGCTTTGCAAATTCGTTAGTTGACAGCGTTAGCTTTTGCATAAATCACAGAATTTATGACTGATTTTGACATTCTGAATCACCATTCTACATAGAGTGAAAAAGAAATCAGAGTATTCAAAGATTATTTTGAAGAGATTTAGATCAGGAAGTCAACAAGAAACCAAAGCCTCAGCGGCCCAATTTTTCGAATTATTCTATGAAGCATCAACATTTTTGGTATGAAAGATTTTCGTAAAATGAACATTGTGATAGAGGGGGTAGTATAGAGGCTTTAGCTAATTTATTGGTGCTACTCACACAAGCATAAAAGATAAGTGATGTTCTAAAAATGGAACAGTGTCTGAATGAGTTGAAAGTCGAGTAGTCTGTTGTAAGGATCCAGCAACAGAACTTAAAAAGGAAGTACAAGAAGCTAGCAGAAAGTAATAAAACCGGGGTCAGAATACAATGAAAACAAGGTAAGGGTTGGATGTAGTTGGCAAGTAACACCGAACCCAGGTTTCCTGTTATTTGACACTCATCAGCAAGACATCCTTTTAATATTAAGAGAACTGATGTTCCCTTATAGATTCGATTTCATGTTACTCAGCTTCATAATCACAGACGTTACCACTGTGCTATCCAGGACACGACTGTCCTTCTGTACAACTGATATGTATTTATAACTGATTGATTACTGAATAGTGAAAAATGTACTGATTAAATCATTATCATTATATTATTATTATATTGTATTGTTAACTTGACCTTTAGAGCGCTCCATTTATGTAGTAAAGAGTCTCGAACACCTCAATAGATGATGACTCACAATCTTATTAACTGATTTATTGTCTTCGCTTAGTATTATTACATGCTCAATAGTCCCGACGTACGAGAGTAATGCTTCGAAGACAAATGCTTGTAACCTACGAATATTCTCTACTTTCAAAGGCAACGTTTCACAGTTATATTAGTAAGTGGATTAGTCTTATTAAGTGGTTTAAGATTATAATAAATCTTTGTTGGTAATACAATTTTGATTTGATCCCTATATTAACCTCTACAATTGACCAGTTTCAAATCACAATCATATCTGACTTGTGATGTTATTTATACATAACTACGGCAGATGAATACTTGATTTTACCTGGTTATTTGAAATATATTGTACAAAAACTATGCGTGTGTTGTATGAACAATATTCATCCTCACTGTCCACAAAAAGTGACAACTGTTTCGAAACAATCGTAACTACTAATAATCAATCAACTTAAATATAAAAACATATACTATGTGGGTGACAACCTATAAATTAGTTCAGCATTATCGGAACAGAGATAGTCATCATCGATGGACTATATGATCATTGTGTCATATTCATAACTGATTAACACTAGATGTGTGAATCATTGGATGCTAACTCAGTGGTATGCGTTTGACGTTCAAGCTGTGAAGCAATAGGATCCTGAGTTCAATACCTGTTGTGACTACTCACAAATATCACATGCTAATTTGGTCTATTTCTCACTAACTATTTATTCTATAGTTTAGTGTCTCTAACTTAGCAGACTACACGCACGACAAGTATTAATGACCTCGAACCGACAGTTAAGTTCCCACTGATCCGTTATTCGCAACCCTTTTTTTATACCCTACCTTGAGTTCAGAAGTCAGCAAATAATTACTACTATTAAAGAGGAAGAATGTATTTGTAAAATCTCAGCCAAAGAATGTGAAGTAAATCCAAAGTTTACCTGGCAATCTGATTCAAGCTTTTTAAAGGAAATAATAATAATTACTACTATATTTACATTTTAAACAGACGTAGTTATTACATAGGAATACCGGACTGCACTATACCATAAAATGGAAAATAAAAATTATACATAAACGAACCAAAAGTGCCTGTGAATAGGCGATATTGTAAATAAGACTAACAACGAATTAAGAATATCAGTAGAGGGTTGTGAAGATTATTAAGTTTTTGATTGAGATCATGAACTGATTGATGTTGCATCATCGTTAAAAACCTGAAAATACTGTACAGCCGTTTCTTCCTGCTGTGAGACTCCTCAGTAGTGCGTATCCATGATCCCGCTCGCGGGATTCGAACCCAGGGCCTTCTGTTTCGCGAGCGAACACTTAACCTCTAGCGCACTGAGCAGGCATCCAACGGGGTTAGTGTCTTACTTCAACCAATCGATTGCGTGAGGGATCGTGATTACGCACGGCTGAGGAGTCCCAAAGCAGGAAGAAACGGCTGTACAGTGTTTCCAGGTTTTCAATCGTCCTCCAACATCAATCGGTTCATGATCTCAATCGAAAAGAATTAAGAATAATAAATTTTATGATGGTAGTTTATAGGTCAATCAAAAGCTCACAATAAAGAGAATAGTTTTACAATAATAACGATGATTTATAAATTGGTTCTAGGGATACTACCCCTAACTCAGGGTCTGAAAAGTCGGAAAAATGAAAATTTCGCAAATGCGATAAAAATGATCTTTATGGTCTAATAATAGTATCCCAACACCAGACAATGAGTTTTAAGCGTTATTTAAACCCTAAAGCTTCAGGCTGGGCTATTTTGCTTACTACCCTACATATGTATTCTATATTGCTATATTGCTATGTAGAGCTGAAGGTCTCATATGATATTGAAGGTTCGCCATTGATATTTTAGATGGTTCAGCATTACTTTGGCAAGTTTTGCTGACTGTTCATGCATAAAATTGGCTTGTTGGTTGACTGATTTCATTCATACTGGTGGTTGCTTTTCAGTGTTCTCAATGGCCATTGTCACTGGGACATTGTAAGGCACGTCGCCATTGCTAACATCAATGAGTTTGACTGTCATGTAAGCGGAATAGGTCAACTTTGGCCCATCCGTGTTATGCATAATTGATTCACGTGATCATTCATCGGAATAAATATACATGTGACGTGAATGTGTATATGAATAGTGCGAATGGTTCACCAGGGTACTTGGTACCTGTGTGGTTGCGCCACAAGATTGAGCTGTAGTATTCAGATTGTAGCATTAAAGCCTATACGATGTCTGGTTCTCCTGTGAAGCGGGATTGAACTGTACTACTTTGGCTACGAATTTTAAGCCTGGGCGTTGTCTGGCTCTCCCGTTAAACAGGATTGAGCTGTACTATTTGGGTTCTCACATGAATGTCTGGATGGTGTCTGGTTCTCCTAAAAACCAATGTAAAATTAACCTGGCCCACAAGGGTATATTATATAACTATAAATTGTTTCTGAAAGTTACCATTCCTTTAATCATTGTTCTAATATATCAATACCTTATACAAAAAGAAAAAAAGAAACTCATTAAATTCTCTATAATATTGAATATTTATAGAATTATTCATATTAATTTACCTGTATTATCTAAACGATTCATAATTGATGAATCTGCACCTTTTGTAAATAAAATTGGTTCATTTGTATAGGGATGACGAAAAATAATAGACATACGTTTTCTTTGTGAATCAAATGGTAGAATACGTAGTACATGTATACAGACAAGTCCATCTTCTATACAATAAAAAAAAGCAAAGCAAAAAGAAGAAGATGATATAGAATTACACTTAAACAATCTATTGAAATATCTATATGGATATCGTTTGACCCCTTTAACTACTAATATATTGATTTACTATTCCTAATTTATTCTCCATCTATTAGTTATAGTCTCTCTTTACTCACAGTTACTTTTGGTTTGATTTTATATAATTATTATTTTTCATTTTATGGCATAATGCGGTCAAAGTTTGGTTGTATATAAACCATATATGTCTAAAATATGAGATTCATATAGAGGAAACTGGTATTTGTGTTCTGAATAGAACAGGTTAGGTTAGTCTAGGCAAGAAGTTAACATACGGAGGATCAATAAGAACTTAGAGTTGACTCAAGGATGCTAGTGATAATTGAAGCATCGTTGCTTTAACACAGGGTAAAAGTCATAGAAATCGGTATTCTGTTTGGAGATTTCGTCACGAGATATTTAACGGGTCATAGGACATAACATGTCAAGTTAATCAGTTTAGTTGACTTTAAATGTGAATCACTAATGTAGAAGCTTATATATATATATATATATATATATATATATATATATATATATATATATATATATATATATTCAAGTGAGAACCTTGAAGGCCGAGGTAGAGAAGGGTTCCATGGGAACAGTGGTTGACGATGGTCCGATAAATTGGAATAGAGACTAGGTGCCTGACAGTGTCCGTTCGCGGACTTTGTTCAGTAATCTGCAAAGTATTGTTCCATTGCAGCCTCCTGTAGCAAAAAGGAATCGGGTTAATATTCCGCACTCTGTCCATGGAGATTGATATGTGTCGTGTATTTGGTTCGGCGTGCACCCAGTGTGTTAACGCAACCGACCTCGGATACATCAGCGAGAGTCCTCTTTTCTTTGTTAAGATTGCATCCATATATATATATATATATACTTTACCATGCATTAGAGGATGTAGTAGATTTTAAAAGGGTTTGTAGCAAGAAAAGTGATCATGAATATATCAGGTAGCAGATTGTACGATGGTTTGTTTAAATTCATGCTAGAGTTGTAAAGAATGAACGCTTAATAGAATACCGGAAATAAATTAACCGAGTTACTTTTCTTTGCCAAAAAAGGTGTACAGAGTTATAAAGATACAAAAGACTATCTTTGTCATTTAATTCATGAATAATAAGTGGTTAGTAGTTCATTCACTTTTCAATTCTCTACCTCAATATGAAATTAGTCAAGGTTATTCCTTTAGTGATAGAACTAATTTAAGTTTTAATCCTATGATACACAGATACAAGCTGATATAGAGTAAGTCTATTTATAATGAATAATTAAGATGGATGAAATTATGTTTGTAAATTGAGTTATCCATAATATTAATTTATGTTTATTGTAGCTTGTATAATAGGTTCAGTATTATCTAATCCAATATACTGAATCAACTTATTTCATTCTGAGTCAATTAATGATTAGTTGGCCTGAAGATGTAAAATCTAGAAGGTGATGATGTAACGTCATCATTTAAATCCTCATGATTACTAGTGGTCGAATGGACCGTCTGGAAGGCTAGATCTTATAGGATCATAGAACTGACATAAATCGTTGATTTGGAGTTAGGGTTATTCAAATCTTCATTAAGAATCTTTAGTACCAAGTAATATGATCTAACTATCAGTGATCTTCTTCTAACACATTCTTTTTTTTTTTGAGAAAAGTTTTTCCATATGAAGGTAGTGAGTAGAACTAGTTCGGTGGGACTTCATGACATTTTGAAAAAACACATTGTTAACAGAAACCGATCACCTTAGTTTCCATGCTGTTGTACAGTATAGCAACATCAAAATTCTAATTCTAAAAAATAATAAAATGAGATTGCATTTAATTAACTTACTTGGTAACCATAATAATATAAAGTCAATACCACGTTGTAATAATTTGTAATTTCGTTTACATGCCTCTTTTACTAAGCATATTTCATCAGGACTTTCAGATTCATAAGAATTGAATAAAGTATTATCTGATAATGGACATTGTTTTAATTCAGATGGAGTTTGTGCATAGATATCGGATTCAATAGGTAATTCAAGTGAACTGCCATTGTGTATACGTACTGTAAGAGTTCTGGCTGTATTGATTTCTAATTCTTCTTCCAATTGATTTTTGTCATTTTGAACATTTTTCTCTTTTACAAGATTAAGTTTTAAATCATTCGGTATAGTGAGGTTTACATCATTATCACGTTGGTCATCTAATTTAATATCTCTATTCAAATCGGAACGATGATTGGCTGATTCTAATGATTCAAAATCTGTAGTACAGAAAGATATTCAAAAAGAATAATTACTGACAAACTCATATAGACTTTGATCAAATAATCACATAGATACTGATGTGGTGTGTGCTACTGATGTTGATAGATAGATAGATAGATAGATAGATAGATAGATAGATAGATAGATAGATAGATAGATAGATAGATAGATAGATAGATAGATAGATAGATAGATAGATAGATAGATAGATAGATAGATAGATAGATAGATAGATAGATAGATAGATAGATAGATAGATAGATAGATAGATAGATAGATAGATAGATAGATAGATAGATAGATAGATAGATAGATAGATAGATAGATAGATAGATAGATAGATAGATAGATAGATAGATAGATAGATAGATAGATAGATAGATAGATAGATAGATAGATAGATAGATAGATAGATAGATAGATAGATAGATAGATAGATAGATAGATAGATAGATAGATAGATAGATAGATAGATAGATAGATAGATAGATAGATAGATAGATAGATAGATAGATAGATAGATAGATAGATAGATAGATAGATAGATAGATAGATAGATAGATAGATAGATAGATAGATAGATAGATAGATAGATAGATAGATAGATAGATAGATAGATAGATAGATAGATAGATAGATAGATAGATAGATAGATAGATAGATAGATAGATAGATAGATAGATAGATAGATAGATAGATAGATAGATAGATAGATAGATAGATAGATAGATAGATAGATAGATAGATAGATAGATAGATAGATAGATAGATAGATAGATAGATAGATAGATAGATAGATAGATAGATAGATAGATAGATAGATAGATAGATAGATAGATAGATAGATAGATAGATAGATAGATAGATAGATAGATAGATAGATAGATAGATAGATAGATAGATAGATAGATAGATAGATAGATAGATAGATAGATAGATAGATAGATAGATAGATAGATAGATAGATAGATAGATAGATAGATAGATAGATAGATAGATAGATAGATAGATAGATAGATAGATAGATAGATAGATAGATAGATAGATAGATAGATAGATAGATAGATAGATAGATAGATAGATAGATAGATAGATAGATAGATAGATAGATAGATAGATAGATAGATAGATAGATAGATAGATAGATAGATAGATAGATAGATAGATAGATAGATAGATAGATAGATAGATAGATAGATAGATAGATAGATAGATAGATAGATAGATAGATAGATAGATAGATAGATAGATAGATAGATAGATAGATAGATAGATAGATAGATAGATAGATAGATAGTATGTAACATCAATCGAAAGTGAAATACCTGACCTGGTGGCAGAAGGTTAACAAGATAGAAAGAAAGAGAATGAGAACAAAGAATGATTGGTGTAGAAACAAAAGAACAATGAAATCTGAGATGATTGATTGACATTTTGCAAATGAAGTATTTACTAAGATGTTCTGTAATATTGTATTCAAATATATTCGATTATTCCCACTTGTGTTCTCATTCATTACACCGGGAGTTGAATACATATAGGAAATATCAGATTTCTATAAAATATGATTAATGTTTGTTAAACTTTTATTATAAAACTCGAATTACTACATTTTAACTAAATAGCGACTGAAATAGTTGGCATTCATAAATATGAAGTAAATACTTATTTCTAAGGTGTTACTAATTTGGGTAATATTACATTTGTAATTTACATAAATCAACATCTATCATAGTCCAATTAAACAACAAAGTTAATGTAGTAAAAGTTGATGAAATTATCAATAATTATAAAGTTTCTTGAAGCTTGAAAATCAAAATAGTTAGCGATAGTAATGAAAAGCTAAATAGGAGTACGCCCCCAAATGCTCCGGTATAGCCGAGAGTGGGGAGAGTCCGCTCTCCCTCTCGAAATACTCTCACATGGCCACGCGTATACAGCCTCCACCATGGAAGTCCTACTCACTGCCTTCTTGCAACACGGATGTTGTTTACGAAAATGAGAGGATGAAAAGCGAATGTCCGACACTTTACCCAGATCCCAAATCAATGGTGCACATGGGCTGGCTCCAGTATCCTGAAGGAACAAATGGCGTATGAACCAATCGTTAGTCACCGGCTACCATGGGACTGCGTCTCCTTACGATACGCCACTGCCTTGTGGATCAGACGTTCAGGTAGAAGGTTTCAGGTGTGGTCCCCTAAGAAAACCACCTGCCTCGGTTTGAGCACCCGGGCAGTATCACAGCCCTCACACAAATCATTTGATTTGTGGCGCATATGTTTGGTTCCTCCTTGTACCAACGTTTATGTGTTTAAATAAATGAATAAAAAGATAAGACTCAGGATACTAAGCAAAGACGGCAAATCAGGAAATAAGATTGTGAACCTTTATTGACCGAGGTGTTTGAGAGATGGTACGTTTGCTTAACCACTACCTCTCTCAACGTACAATGCTAACTGATGTGGAAGTAAGTTAGGGGTGGCCAAATGAAAACGTGGTATCAGTTCCCGGAATAATTGACTCTTAGTCTAACCCATACTGGTACGTATAGACTACCCGGTCAGGGTCGGTGCGATAACTAATATCTGTGTCTAAAGACATTAAATGACTTGATTCGGAATTGAACGTGATGGCTCAAATGCTCTTACTCGTTGTCTTCCTAAGTTGAAAAATATTATAACAGAACGAACAATAGGAAAGTTGAACTTTTGCAACTGTCATACCTGAATGTATTATTTTGATTTTTCTATTATTAAATACTTATATTATTGCACTTCCATATTCTCCTGATTACAAGTTTTTGAATGATACATAAACTTTCGTTATATTTTGTACCTTACTCAAGTCACTATTAACTTATTACGGATATATTACTCAGTTCTCTTCCATTTATGACATACAATAGAGAACTGATCTGCTTTCTGACTTTGTCTTTTGATTAGCCACTGGGTTAGAAGGAGCTCAAGGATAAAAAAGCATTAACGCATTGGGTGTGGTTCATTGTTAGATATTTCAATTGATCAATAAGTCACCGATATTATTGGTCATATATGTGAACTAATAGACAATTAGACTAGAGAAAGGGGTCATAAAATTACTTTCCTTTCATCACAACCCAAGAAAAAAAATCCACTGTTGTATTCCACAGACAGAAACTTTTTTCAACCTTGTATACTGAGAATTAATTCTTTTTTTCCCTAATCATATTCTTTGGTTCTGATCCTCCTTACTGTCACTGATAATTTCATTACTTTGATCTTGACAGTTTTGTAGTGATCTACTTTTATCAAGAGAACGCGATTGATGTAATGGAAACAATCATTATTATAACCAATTGTACCAGGGATTGTTTTACTGTACTTGTTTGTTTAACTGTACTAAAGTCATACTTTCTTCCGTTGATTGTGACCTTGCACGAATTTGGTTACGCTCAGTAACCCCACTTGTAACCTGGCACGATCTCGGTATTCTTTCGATACCACGAGATCCCCAACAAATACATCTCGACTACAGACATCAACTGCCTTCTAATATTTGACCTACGGGGGATCTTATCGGTTAATTGGCACGTAGTCTTCTTGTAGTGGTGATCATAGTCAAACGCGACTAGACGCCACAATACAGTTTTATCATAAATAATGTATTTAACTGAACAGTAAGATCTAGCATTTATGAGGTTTTAATAGTTTCTATGCTTATAAGTAAGAGAAATAAATCTGTTCAGAATCACAAAGAATAGTGAAGTTAGACGTAGAGTATTAGAGAATGATGGTAAATCAGTTGGTGAAGTTGTGAATCTTCATCGACTGAGATAGTTGGGTGAAGTGATATGTATATCTGAACACCTATTACCACAACGCATAATTCTAGTGTTGGAGACAGTCGAGATAAAGTTAGGGGTGGCAAACCAAAACGTGACATCATTCCTTAAAGTCACTAACGTCTAGTCTGAGCTATGTTAGTAGATATAGACTACTTGGTTGGGGTCCGCGTAACTATCGTAATCAATGGTTGAAGACTTTGGGTGACATTGCTCAGAATCGATCACAATGGTGGAGGTGTATAGAATTTTTATCTTCCCTTAAACTATGAAATTAAAATTATTTTATATCTTTCATTCTACGAACTTTTAGTAGGGCCCTTTATTTTGTCGTCATTTAGATTGGACAATGTTGCCGACGGGCTCTCCAATTTAATGGCCCAGGGATCTGACTCCAGTTAGATCGTATGGATGTTCGTTGTCGAATGATTGCTGTAGAAATATATATCACTTATCCTCGTATATAATCATCGACTTAAATCGCGCTTGTCAATAACGGAATTAAATAAGTCAAATAACGAGAATGGACTTTCGAATATATATATATATATATATATATATATATATATATATATATATATATATATATATATATATATATATATATATATATATATCGTATATGAAGCGAATGGAATAGAGCGAAGCAAAAGAACGCGCAGTGGAGACGGTGGGTAAGCCAACTCTTTTTAGTCAAGTGTTAATCAATAATCATAGTTACACAAAAATAAGTTACAGACATGTGATGAATAAGATAAGAAATGTACACATACGTATGCTCATATAAAAAACAGGTCAAAATATGATTCAACTAGAATAGATAGAATATGGTCTTAACACAATAACCGACACCATAAACTAATTCTTACTTACTGTACTATGTCCTTACATAAAATCTTTCCTTCATATATTACATCATTGAATTAACTACTATGAAACCTGTGTTCATCTTGCTGTGGTAATGAGATGTAGCAACCTGGACCGATGTATATATGTGCCTGGTCCTACATTGTAACCGACTGACTGGTTGTAAACTAGCGTGAATTCTGTAATTATTATTTTCAGAATAGATTATTATTTTTCACATGATGTTGTTTTACTTTTATCTTCCCATTGTTATTTATGACAGCAATTGGTCAGTCTCATATTAACATATGCGCATACTGTGTGGATTGCCTCCATATAGCCTTAAGTCACAAGCATTATAAGCAAAGATAAATAGTGGCTAGCAGTGAAATCCAGTTTGACCCGCGTTTTGTCCTGTTTGAGACTCATCGATTGGTTGTACCTACATGTCAGTATTGATGTTCACTCCGGGACTCAAACCCAGTATTGTTCGCTTCAAACACCATCGTATTATCCACTTAGCTACTGATTCCTGATAGCCAACATGAGACTGATCAATTGTAATTCTAAACAACAGTACGAAGATACAAGCAAACAATACTAAGTGAATTTAAACTTTCACCTCATTGCAAAAGCAGGTGGTTATCAGGACTCAGTCAGTAGTTAATTAGATAACGTGATGGGTTTTTTTTAAACGAACAGTACTGAGTTCGAATTCCAAAGTAAATATCAACTCTGAAATGCAGGTACATCTATCCAACTGACGAGTCTCAAATAGGACGAAACGCGCATCAAACTGGATTCCACTGTTAGTCACTATCCATCTTTACTTAAATATTATTATTATATAAAATAATTTGATATAATTACCTGATTGTTGTATATAAACAGAAGAATTATGTAAATTTAATTCATCCATTGATATACTACTATATGAACTAAAATAATTATATTCATATTGTGGTAACTGTGGTAATATATGATATTCAATTATTTTTTTATTTTTTCTTTCTGTATCCAATTGTGTATTATTATTATTATTATTTAATATATGTTTAGAATTTTTTAATGTTATATCTAAATTTAATGCTTCAATAACTGGTGGTAAACAACGACTTGAATAAAATAATATAGATTCTTTATAATAGTTACTTTTCATTAGTTCATTTAATGATCTAGCTGAATTAACATTAATATTATTGATTTTTAATAATTGATTATTATTATTATTATTATTATCGATTTGATTGATTTCATTTCCATGGTGATTGTTATCAATCTTTATTGATTGTATTTCTATATCATTTAATTTTGTATTAGAATCATCAATGATAAATGTTTCTTGACTAATCTCTTCATGATCAATATGATTAGTATCCAAGAGATTAGAAGATATAGTAGTACTATTATGATGATGATCATGATCATGATCATTCGATTTCTCTGATTGAGTATTGACTTTATCAATTCTAGTTGAACGTAATTTATTTGAAAATATATTAGATAAGTTAATTGTTTGTTTAACTCGTGATAAATGATTAGGATGATGATCTGTTTTATCTTTTATTATGATATTGGACTTATTTAATAGTGTACTAGGTTGACTTTGTTGTTGTTGTTGTTTAGTTTTGCGTAATTTTTGATGTAAATGTGTAATTGAATTTAATTTACCAGAACGAAAGAAATCACGAAATCCTTTACGACGTGGAGGTGGTACTTGAAACTGTTAAAACAAAAAAAGATAAAAAAAAATAGATTGTGTATGAAAAATAGTTTGTTTACATGAAATGACTTATATTTTGTTCAGATATAATCCTAATATCCGTTTACAGTCAGTCAGTCAGTAGGTTACAACGTAGGAACAGGCACATATGTGCATCGGTTCAAGTTACCACACCTCATTAACACAACAAGATGAACACCAAACTTATAGAAGTAGTTAATTCAGTAATGGTGGTAATATATAAAACAAAGATTGTGTATAAGGATATAATACAAGGAGAAAGAATTAGTTCTTGAAAAAAAAGATATGAAACGATTTTAATCTCATAGTTTAAGGGAAGACAAAGAGTGTATACACCTACACCATTGTGATCGATTCTAAGCCATGTCACACACAGTCTCCAACCATTGGTTACGATAGTCACGTGGACGCTAACCAAGTAGTCTGTATCTATTAATATGGCTTAGACTAGACGTTAGTGACTTCAAGGAATGATGCCACGTTTTGGTTTGGTCACCCCTAACTTACTTCCAACCATCGCCAACATTAGTCAGCATTGCATATCCGTTTACAGGAAGCTTTTAATGTTAATAATTAAGATTGATGAGAGTTATCTCCAAGTAACACTAACAGCATCAATCTCAGAGATTGGAAGTTCGATTCAAATAATCATTTAATAACTACAACATTATAACACTAGTGATTAAGGTCAAAAGTTTAAAAATTTTCAACAATAATTTCAGCCCAATTTTGTGGTTTAATTGAAGTTAGACGTTAACGCCATTGGATGCCGGATCAGTGGTCTAATGGTTAAGCGCTCGAGCACAAGACTGATAGGTCCTTGGTTTAAATTTAAAGAGGTGAGATCATAGATACGCACTGCTGAGGAGTCTCATACTAGGACGAGGCGGTCTTGCTTTCAGGTTTTTCATGATGGTCTAGCTTCAATTCATTCATGATCTCAATTATTAAAAATTACTATAATATCCACAAAACCACTTCTGATAGAAAAAATTTACTTTATCTAATCTCAATTAAAACTTAACGAAACCTTTCAGAAATATTTGCAGAAATAATCAAATCCTATATCATACTCACAAATCATTGCTAAAATTAAAAATACTACTTAAGTATTGTATAGTAAAATTATTAACGCGTATATAGCCTCCACCATGGAAGTCCTACTCACTGCCTTCTCGCAACACGGATGTTGTTTACGAAAATGAGAGGATGAAAAGCGGATGACCGACACTTTATCCAGATCCCAAACCAATGGTGCACATGGGCTGGCTCCAGTATCCTCAAGGAACAAATGGCGTATGAACCAATCGTTGGTCACCGGCTACCATGGGACTGCGTCTCCTTACGATACGCCACTGCCTTGTGGATCAGACGTTCAGGTCGAAGGTTTCAGGCGTGCTTCCCTAAGAAAACCACCTGCTTCGGTTTGGCCATCCAAGCAACATCACAGCCCTCACACAAATCAATTGAGATTTGTGTGGCGCATATGTATTTGGTGCCTCCCTGTACCAATATCTATGTGTTAAAATAAAATAAAATGCTAAAATTATTAACAGATGTTCGGTGCGAAAAAATATTGGTCGAATTCGTGGTGAGCGATTTCAATTTCTTCAGTGAAATAAAGTTAAGAAACAAGGGTTAACTTAATTTTACGTACAGTCATAATAGTAACAAAGCAAAGGAAATCATAAAAATTTAAGTAATGAGTCCAGGAATCTGAAGCAAAATAGTGCCCCCAAATGCCCTGGTACGGCCGAGAGTGGAAAGAGTCCGCTCACCTTCTCGAAATGCTCTCACATGGCCATGCGTATATAGCCTCTGCCAGGGAAGTCCTACTCACTGCATTCTCGTGGCACTACTGTTGTTTACAAAAATGAGAGGATGAAAAGCGAATGTCCGGCACCGGCTTTAACCGGATCCAAAACCAATGGTGCACATGGGCTGGCTCCAGTATCCTCAAGGAACAAATGGCGTATGAACCAATCGTTGGTCACCGGCTACCATGGGACTGCATCTCCTTATGATGCTCCACTGCCTTGTGGGTCAGACGTTCAGGTCAAAGGCTCGGGGTGTGGCCCCCTAAGAAAACCACCTGCTTCGGTTTGGGCACCCGTGCAGTATCACAGCCCTCACACAAATCAATTGAGATTTGTGTGGCGCATATGTATTTGGTGCCTCCCTGTACCTATACTTATGTGTTAAAATAAATAAATATAAATAAGCAAAATAGTAATCAGATGAACGCATATAAAACCGTTATTCAACGTAAGCAGAAACACAGTACCGAATTCCATTCAAACATTTACAAGCTCTAGATACATTGAGAATTAAATTCAATGTAATTACAATGAAGATTGGTCATTTAAGAGGATTTCGTTACCTCATCAAGTCAATTAATCGATTGTATATCTCGAAATCATAAAATAAATTGAATTCCCATCTGAACTACTTAATTATAAACAAGTAATATATATTCAGTGTGCAATATAGAACGTAACGATAATAAACACAAACCAATTATAGTTAAACAATGGCTTTAAACAATAGTGCTAGACAACTGTTTCGTTTTAGCTTGAGGTTACCAAGTAGTGACAACTGATGGCTTACCACCAGAGAGAAACCCAATATATTCTAGCCTGATGATTAATTTATTACCTTAAGACCAAGGTATTAACTTACAACAAATTCCACTTGCGACTTCAATCAATTAGTAATCACGCAAGATCAAGTATGTTGATAATGTACAGCATCCTCCGACCAAAAAACCTTTAGAAGCTTTCATTCTTTATAAAAATACGTAGTCAAGTAATTTTTGAAGATTCTCTCATTTAGAAAATAATTATACTAACAGGCTGACAAACACTATGGAAACATGAGTAAATTATTTATGGAGATTTCCTTGAAATCATGAACCGATCTAAGTTAGACAACCATTTTATACATTTAAACACTGGTAAGCTGTTTCGCCGAAGTATGGAACTAACCATCAGTGTCCATCCACAACCATGTATTATTATCACGTACACAATAGTGACTAATTTCGATAAGAAAATTCGCGGAATTCTAATGTGAAGTTATGACCAGTGTAGCTAATCCTTGTCCGGTATGAAGCGATTATTCACCGAAAACAATAGGAAATGATAACACAATATCACGGATTGATATATTTTACGTATTGGCATCTTTGTGTGCCAACCCAGTGTTGAGCGATCGCGAGCGAGATTTTAGATGCGTAGATATGAAAATGAAACATCTATCCAATGCTTCCAGGTTTTCAATGCTGATATCTAACTTAAATCAATTATAATTTCAATGAAATTCAACAATCTCCACAACTATATGCTAAAAAAATATTTATGAGGAGTCAGTCACTACAGAATATTGTTAAACAGAATGAAGGACCCCGTAGACTCACAACTTCGCGACCAACAGGCAGGATTCCGTAAGGATAGATTGTGCACAGAACAAATCGCAACTCTACGGATCATTGTGAAACAATCAATTGAATGGAATTCATCACTCTATATCAACTTCATTCACTATGAAAAAGCATTTGATAGCGTGGACAGAACAACCCTATGGAAACTTCTTCGACACTACGGCGTGCCTCAGAAGATAGTCAATATTATACGGAATTCCTACGATGGATTAAACTGCAAAATCGTTCATGGAGGACAGTTGACAAAGTCGTTCGAAGTAAAGACCGGTGTCAGGCAAGGTTGCTTACTCTCACTCTTTCTCTTTCTCCTGGTGATCGACTGGATCATGAAGACGTTAACATCTGAGGAGAAACATGGGATACAGTGAACAGCTAGGATGCAGTTGAACGATCCAGACTTCGCAGATGATCTGACTCTTCTATCGCACACTCAACAACAAATGCAGGAGAAGACGACCACTGTAACATCAGCCTCAGCAGAAGTAGGTCTCATTATACACAAAGGGAAAAGCAAGATTCTCGGATACAACACTGAATGCAACAATAGAATAACACTTGACAGAGAAGAATTGGAACACGTAAAAACCTTTACATATGTGGTCAGCATCATTGATGAACACAATCGATCTGATGTAGATGTTAAGCCACGGATCGGCGAAACAAGAGCAGCATATTTACAACTGAAGAACATCTGGAACTCAAAACAACTGTCTACCAACCATCACCAAGGTCGGAATTTTCAATACAAATGTGAAGACAGTTCTACTGTATGGGGAGGAAACCTGGAGAACTACGAAAGCCATCATCCAGAAAATACAGGTTTTTTGTTGACAGTTTTCTACGCAAAATACTTCAGATCCGTTAGTCAGACACTACACTATCAGCAACAACCTATTGTGGGAGAGAACAAACCAGATCCCAGTGGAGTAAGAAATCAGGAAGAAGCTCTGGAAGTAAACAGGACACATATTGAGGATAGCACCCAACTGTGTCACAAGACAAGCCCTCACATGGAATCCTCAAGGTCGAAGGAGGAGAGGAAGACGAAAGAACACATTACACCAAGAAATGGGACAGATATGAAAAAAATGAACAAAAATAGGATAGAACTAGAAAGAAAGACCCAGGACAGAGTGGGTTGGAGAATGCTGGTCAGCGGCCTATGCTCCATTAGGAGTAACAGATGTAAGTAAGTTATATATATATATATATATATATATATATATATATATATATATATATATATATATATATATATATATATATACAAATTAACTTACCATTGTTGGAGTATTCTTTGTAACCGATACTACAGCTGTATTACATATAGCTAAAGCTAAGAAATAATCTTGAATACGTATTTCATCACTTAGTAATATTCTTGAATTGATTTCCATAGAATTATATTTTTCATTAGTTTTCCATTGTTTTTCATGGTTTATTTCAATATCTAAATTGTTACATAAGTTTTGTTGAGGTAATGCTATAGAATAAGGTGAAGTGATATTAGTAGCAGTAGCAGTATTATTATTATTATTATTATCCATTTGGCTATGACTAGTTGATGGTATCTCATTTGATTGTTGTATTGTATTGATGAAATAATTCCTGGAACTATGATCAGAATATTCCATATCATTATTGTACATCTTTTGATGTGAAGAAAAAATTGTTCTATTCTCTAATATACTTTGTAATGTATTCAAATGTGTTACAGTATACTTCTGAAAGTAAGTACAGAATATAGAATAAATATAATAGTCATATCATGTGGTGTATACTACTTATATTGACAGATATAAGTAATATGTAATACTAATTGGAACTAGAATGCCTAACAGTAGAAGACTAAAAACAAATCGAATTGAAGAGAATACAAAAAATTTGAAATGAAATATATAATTGAAGGAATTATGAATTACAAAAAAAGATAACTGATGGAATAAATGTAAATAATGTACTTACTGTATGGTTTTTGTATTTTACCAAATTACTTTATCATTTTACATTAAATAAGAAATTGGTTATTCTCATCAAGTCATCGTTCTTTACAATCTGAATAAATAGAGTTTGTAACTATTACTAATTTAATTAACCCTGTTACCATTCGTGAAGGAGTACAGGCCGCTAACCAGCATTCTCCATCCAAATCTGTCCTGAGCAATCCCCTCTAGCTGGTTTCAGTTACTATTTATCCATTTCATGCATGTTTCCAAATATCGGGGAATAGTATTCTTTAGCCTTAATCTTTACCATGATATCCATAGGAAGATGTGTGTTCTGCTTAGATATCCGGTGGATTCAATGTATCTGATATATTCAAGGGTTCCTCGGAGTGTTCAACCCATCTACTCCCCTGTTCCTGAATCTCAGCGTTTGGCTTGTTTTCTTTGTCATTGACCGATCTCTCTTATTTACTATTTTTCCATGCCAGTTTCTTCATCGTGTCATATAGTTGTTTCATATTTCCTTCTCTTGCAGTTCTTTACTCTGTCACTGCTATCTCTTCCATATATATTTTTGCTTGTCAGCTCTAATGCTTCTCATCACGTGCTTCTTTGCTTCTATGTATTCGCCTTGTGCCTTGACTTTCTCTGTTGTTGTTCGGCTGTTGTTAATTGCTATCTTTTTGTTCTTGCTTTCTTGAATCTTGTCCTACCCAATAAGTACATTTCATGCAACTCCCTGAGTGTGTGGAGCATTTTCCCCTTCGTGACCGGAGTGCAGCAGCAGTTTTCCCGTACCTAACCTTTGCTGTCCACCTTGGGTCCATGGGTTTCGCTGATTCCGAGCATCACTAATTTGCATCTCCTCACTTCCGTTGCTGTTTGACTTGTCCTTCCAGTCTCCCATATTGTTTCGACATCCTATGTACCTATGATAATTTTTGCTCGGGTTGTTAGATGCGCATCATCCGTGTGACTTCCAAGGAATCTCGGTCTTCGTTATGAGGTGTCATAATTCCTGCTTTAACTCGGATTGCAGAGTTTAGATGGCTTTATTTGTTTGAACTGGTTGGCGTTTTTTAGCAAGATGTTTTTTTACTGGTTGGGGTTCTCGACCCCATACTTATCCTTCGTCCTTTATCTGGGCTTGGAACCGGCCGTAACTCTGAGAGAGCTACATGCGAAGTTTTTATAACTATTAAATAACCATAAACACTTTGAGTATAGGATTGTGGAGATTATTTAATTTTAGTGATATCATGAATCTGTCTAAGTCAGACCATCATCAAAAACCTGGAAACACTGAAAAGTTGTTTCTTCCTAGTATGGGATATAGTTGTAAGTTAAGCCGCCACTAATATTTATTATTACAATTTATGATGTCATGTGAAATTTGGAACTAAGTGTAATATGTAATTAAAAAGTGTTATGAAAGACATAGATCATTCATGTCAAAACGGAATCAAACAATAATATCGTCTGAATTATTCCATCACATTTGCTTAAAATATATCAATTTCATTTATTAAACTATTTCTATTATGTAACTACCTGTAATCAAATTGTGTTATCAGTTTTAAAAAAATGACCTGAACATTTATATACTTGATAATTCATGGAATAGATTGATGAACTTTCAAGTCACTTACACATTATATACTATGGAATCAGTATGATGGTTCATTTATTGATGTTTTGATTAAGGGTCTTAGTATGTATTATTCGTTAGGGACCGACTTGAGTTGGAGTACATATCAATTTCAGTTTATTTTTTTTGGTTAAAGACTACAACTAGAAACAATTATATTTACATTTCAGGAACAAATAAATCTCTTTTTCTTGGTAGTTGTACTTTAGTTTGAGCTACTTATATCCACATAAGTAGTATATAACGATGGTCAGGAATAAAATGTATTTCAGTAGAAGATCAAGAAGGAAATTATGGGAACGGAAAGTAATTGATATGAAAATGCACAAGCAATGAAATCTGAGACGATGGACTGATATTTGCAGAAGAAACAGCCAAGTTTGAGACAATGGATTGATATTTTGCACATTAAGTATTCACTGTATTGTTCTCAGATTTTAGTGAGATATTCTGTAATTTTGCGCTCAAATACATTCGATTGTCTCCAGTCGTCTCCTTGTTCACTACAGTACGATATTTTGATGTGTCAGTCATAAGACACTTTTCATTATACACCAAATATGGTCATAATAAGTAGATAGTGAGATTGACAAGATCGTTAACAATTTTATCTTATCTACAAATTTTCATGTGATTCGAAAAGGGAAAACCTAATGTTTATTCATATACTTACAAACATTTCATTATTCAGACAGTTGGTGTGTTATTCATGAAATTGAGAGAACGAAAAGTGATTGCGCGGTTCTTAAACCGGATTAGTAGATACGAAGGAAATCTATCCAGAGGAGTCAGAAAATCATAATTCTAAACCGATGGTGCATATAGGCACCAGTATTCTAAGGGAACGAATGGTGTATTAACGTATTTTTAGTCATCAGGTACCATGACACTGATGTTCCTGATATTGATCCACTGTTTTGTTTTTTGGATTACACTTTTTCGTCAAAGACCTAGGGAGTGGCACCCTAAGAAAACCTCTTGTTTCGGTTCGGGCAGTCATGGGGTTTCCCGGCCCACACACAAATCATTGAGTTTGTGTGAAGCATATATATTTTGGTAACCCTTTGAAATAATTTCCTTATGTGTTTAAATAATAATGCAAGTCGTTAAAGATCATATCTCACAGATATATAATCAATAAACCATAAATTTTGGAATACCATGTATCCATGTGTTACTTATAGTACTTCATGAATTGTACCCGAAACTAGGAATAACCAATCTTGATGAATAAATTAATATTAAAGGTAGAAATTACTATGTTACAACCAATTATTAACTACTCAATGTTTAAACAATAGAAATTGGTTTGTTGATGTAGATAGTGTCTATATAATATGTGCAAATACCAAAACGTAAAAGAAACCACCATGATTGTGTAAAACTACGTACTGGTGAAGAATGATTACTGAGTTGATCGTTATTTTCATGATAATCACCTATGATATACAACAAAAAAAAATACAGGGTATTAGTTTACAGTAAACTTGAAATACAACAGGATTACTTGATGATGTGAACAGGGAAACAAGAAGCTCTGACAAACTACGTAAGCTATTTTTCGGGACTTTGTTTCATTTTATTCAAAGCTTGTAAAATACTAACTTTTATTTTTATCCCTAATCTATTCTACAGAACATAAGCTTTCGTTCGATGTATGATTCGTTGCCATACCCTTTTCTGTTCCGAAGCTATTGCAATTTAAACATAATATTTTGCACCCTATTTTCTACTACGATTCCCAGCTTTAGACATAACTGTATTTTTCCTAATTATTGTACGTTGCGGTCGGGTTATTCACCTATTTATTCATGTACCTTTTTACACTTATCGAAATCAGGATATCGGGAATGGATTGAGTAGTGCTCCAATTGTCTTGTCTTCTCTCATTCGTGTGCTTGTCCACCAATTGGGTGACAGAATAGTGTTCTTGTCTCTAACCTATCTCGAGCTCACGCGTACTAGTCTCAAGGTTAAGCCGATCAGCCTATCGCGTTAAAGTCTAAATCTGGATTAGAAAGTACCCTCGGCACCAAAAGTGGGTAGACAGATCAAAGAACATAACACTTGACAAAACATATTAATTTCAACAGTTGAGATCATAAGTCAATTGAAGCTAGACCACTATGGAAAACCTGGAAGCACTGAACGGTCGTTTCATCCTATTGTGGGACTCCTCAACTATTGAAATTACTATGATATGAACAGAAGTCTCTTCTGATATTAATCAACATATGCTCACTAATGACTGGCTTCAAGAGGTATATCCTGGAGTTCTAGTGAAAAGCAGTGACCAGTGGAGTTCAACCAGGTCTGATGTGAGATAGTAACTCACTGATTACAATGATGATGGAGTCGCTCAATTTTCTGGATTAGTTGAAGTTAGACATTAACAACGTTAGATACCGACTCAGTGGTCTAGTGGTTAAGCGCTCGCGCACGAGGCCGATAGGTCCTGGTTCGAATTCCGCGGTGTGGGATCGTGGATGAGCACTGCTAAGGAGCCCCACAGGTTTTTCATGGCGATCTAGCCTCAACTGACCCATAATCTCAACTATTGAAATTACTATAATATCCACAAACTTGTTCATTACAGTTTTCGGCATAAGTCAGCTATCAGGGAATTTTTTCAGTCAATCAGAATGCAAATAATAATAATGAGGATAATCTATTACATAAAAAACCCATAAAAAGTTATGATTTGGTTTAAGCCTTTTAATTCAGATTAAGATTTAGGGTTAGGTTTTAGGGTCAGGAGTTTGGGTAGAATATTGGTCCGAGATGAAATGGATGAATACTTTGTGATTAATATAGACGAATAATTACGAAGTCAGTTCTTTGATCTTAAAATAGAGAAACGTTTTTTTAATTACCTTCAAAAATTTATAAACCATGGTTCCTATTTCTTAGTCCTATCATGTTTATCAATCTATACAAATCACAGAAACTAAATATTGGTAGATTCACTTAATGTTGTTTGGATGTATCACTCCATTGTTGTTCAAAACTGCAATTGACCAGTCTCTTATTTGTATATGTGAATATTGTGCAGATTTTCTCGATATTGACTTAAGTCACAATATTTTTAAGCAAAGATAGATAGTGGCTAGCATTGAAATCCAGGATGCACTTTTCATCCTATTTGGTTTGAAGTCACAGAGGGAACATCAACTCTGAAATGCAAATACATCCAGATGATGAGTCCTAAATAGGATGAAACGCACATTTTGAATTCCACTACTAGCCACTATCCATCTTTGCTTATAAATATTAGTAGATTTTATTTAGTATTTAATTAAATAAAAGATTTTCATTATCGTATTTTTCACTATCGCGCTAAAATCCAATAGCCACTATCTTTAATCTTAACCCAACTAACTATTACAGCTTTTACGTTACTTTTGTAAATCATTAAATTTATAAAGTTCAAGGTATCTTCAATGTATTTTAAAAAATATATCTATACAGAACCTTATAACCTGATAATACTCGTGTATGATTATGTAAATAGCATAGAAACAGATTTCTGGAAATTCTAGCGTATGAAGTTATAACTTGTCTAGATAAGAACGATACAGTAACTGATCATCATGTTACTTAGAAAGTTTACTGAGGTCAAAGATTTAGACATCATGTTTCTAACGCATTGCTTAAATTGTATCATGTTTGTTAAGAAAGCTAAAGGTCTATAAGCTAAAAAAAAAATTTGCAATCAGTTATCAAACTAACTAGTTACATCAACGAAACAGTGTTATACATATATATTATTGATATTATAGTAATTTTAATGGTTGAGATCATGAGTCAATTGAGGCTAGACCACCATGGAAAGACTGGAAGCACTAGATGACCGTCTCGTTCTGACCGATAGGTCCTGGGTTCAAATCTCGCGAAGGGCGGGACCATGGATGCGCACTGCTGAGGAGTCCCATAATAGGACGGAACAACCGTCCAGTGCTTCCAGGAAAAACATATTTAATTAAAAATAAATCATAAATAAACTAACCATCATCAGTATGATAATCTTTTCCATTAATACTGGCACGTTTAAATTCCATTTTATTCTCTGTTAATGTACCTGTTTTATCCGTGAATACATATTCAATTTGACCTAAATCTTCAGGAATATTAAATGCACGTATTTCAATACGTCTATCTAAATTACTATCATATAATTGTAAATCATTATTCATATGCCATACTTGATGCATTTTAACAAATTCAATTGTAACATACAATGGTAAAGGTATAATTGTCTATAAGAAAAACAAACAATACAATACACTACAAATGTTATAATAAACAGGAATAGAGAAAAAAGAAAAGAAAAATAATTAGATTAGTAACCAATCTACCAGGTCAATGTCATTTAACTTGAGGTCACATTTTTTTTGTTATTAATATTAGGGATTTTGAGGAGATTATACAGTTCTCCTAGTTGAAATCATGAACTGATCTTAGTCAGATCACTATTGAAAACCTGTATGTTTCGTTCTGGTATAGTTTCCAATTCTAGTTATAAATGATCACCATCGTCTATTGATTCTTTATTTTAAATCAAAAACATATTTAGCAAGCCTAGGAGGTTTAGGTGAATAACAACTGTAAAGAGCTGGAAAGGATTGCCCACGACTCCTCCATAAGGAGTAACAGGTGTAAGTAGGAGGTTTGGATAGTGGAATATTGCCCATAGAATCTGAAAACGAATATTAAAATGTTGAACGACAATTGAAATTGAAGGATTTCATATTCAACAAAACATAAATTCACAGTTTTGATCACATTCGCAGGAGTAATCAAAATGTCTATAGGCTGAACCTACATGTTAGGTTATTTACTGTGTTTTTTTTCAGATAACAATTAGAAAGTTCGGTGACTAATTTGTAATAGCCATTCTCGTTAGTTACTTTTATTAGCATAGATAAGATCAAATTACAAGACAAGTGTTTTCTTCTTTTCGGAAACTTCTCACGATTAAAAACTTTCTCTATATATAAAAAGACTAAATAGGTTAATACTAGAAAAGATTTTGCGGAGAATTGGTAATTTCACTGGTTGAAATCATGAATCCATTGAAGCTAGACCACCATGGAGAACGTGGAAGCACTGGACGGCCGTTTCGTCCTAGTGCGGGACTCCTCAGCAGTGCGCATCCACGATTCCGCCCTTCGCGGGATTCGAACCCAGGACCTATTAGTCTTGCGCCAGGCGCTTAACCAACTAGACTACTGAGCCGGCACCCAACGGTGTTAATGTCTAACTTCAACCAATCCACGAAGTTGCGCCACCATCACCATTGTCTTCAGTGAGCTGATATGTCACAACAGACCTGCTTAAGATGAAAAGGTTGAATGATGTAACGTACATATATTGGTTAAGATTTTAATTTTTAGTAATTTCATGTAAGCAATGATACTAATGAAAATGATCATTCAACTAACCGAATTCTTATACTCAGCTATTATTTATACACTTTTGAAAGGGTTGGAAATACTACTTGTTGTCTTGTTACCAGCAATCGGTTGTAGTCAGTAGGAACGATTACCTTCTATTACAAGAACTGACATACCGATCAGTGAACCATATCCAAGGATCTAACACTTATAAGTCCTCAAGTTCCATCTAATCCAGTAGCTAACCAAGAAAGTTATTTCAAAGACGAATAAGAATATTCAAACGAATAGTTTGACAAAAATTGGGCGCCGAGTATAGAGAATTCATTATATATATGAAAATTATATATGAAATAATCTCAGCGATTGAAATTTAAATAATTCCAATGTTTCGTCCAACAAACTTGTCTCGACTTCTTCCGAGTAATAGTCGAAATCAAGATTATCAAAGAAACAATCAAATCAAAGTTATACTGTGCTAATCCAATCATATTTATATGTTGACTTTAGTAAGTAGGATAACATGAGTGAATTATATGTGGATCATGTGAAAAGTTCACAATGTGACAATAAATGAATGAATGATTGTGTGTGTGTGTATGTATGTATAAGATTGAGTTAAAAGTAAAAGTGCACGATGAAAGTTGGAATTGTTTCTATCAGAATAAAGATGAGTGTGAAGTAAACAGGTTAGATAGAGAACGAACATCGTTTGCAATGACACAGGTGCATCCACTCTTTGTGTCCTACCAAATTCTAATCTTCTGAATTCTCCTTGTCTTTTTTCCCCTCTTTCCAAATTTATTTCACTGGATTATACTCTTTGAATAACATCTTCAAACCCTAATCTTTCCGATTACTGCTTATACTCTTACTACCTCTACCACTACGGGATTTAAATCGACAACTGCATCTCTGTACTAATGTGGTATGACAACTCGAACTGATGTACGTACGTACGAAGTTCTACGTTCTTACTGACCGACTGGCTAACGAACATTTGTTAAGCAATTGCTAGTTGAATACCATCCTTTCTGTTCAGGCTGTTCTTATTAGCCCATATATTTAGCACTTTTGTGGTCAATCTTTCTTTACATATTGTTACGAATAATTACTGAAGCTTATGTAATACAATTAACTCACCTGAAAAATAATTACAAATCTCCAAAAATTGAGAAAACCTTGATAAGCAGGTGTTGAAGTTGAAGAATTTCTGTCAAGTGCAACGAACAATACATCATCACCTGGTAAATTCTGATGCCAAACAGCGCTACCTAAAACAAAACAAAAAAAATAGGATTTTTTTAAAAATTGCTTTCTGTACGCTGAGTGATTTATTCACGTGAAGCTTTCATGTTTCTGAGCGATAAATCTTTACCATCTCAACACATATAGTATATTTTCACGGTTTAAATTACGAGTTAACCTAAGCTAGACTCCCATCGAAAACCTGGAAGAACTGGACGGCCATTTCGTCCTAGTAACAAAATCTTCAGCAGTGTAAGTACATGATTCCACATGTGAGAATCGAACACAATACCTTCAGTCTCATCTACATCACTCAGTCGGCATCCAACGGTATTCATGTCTAATTTTAATCAATTCATGATCTTATCCAACCCTTCATCCATTACTTGAGGTGGATAACTATCTCATATGCGACATAGTTTAACTCCACTGGACACAGATTATCACTGGAAGTGCAAGAGTTACATTATGAAACTAGTCACTAGTGAGGACGGCTGTCCAGTGCATCCAAATTTTAAATAATGGTCTAGCTTAGATCGACTCATGATTTCAACTGTGAAAATATTACACTCTCCAGAAATCTCCTATACTGATAACATAGAGTATATGTAACTACTTTCTACAGCAATCAAGCAAAATATTTGAATATCACATAATAATAACTATATTTAAGCATAGCTATGTTTAGATAGAATTAAATAGCCTAGAGAAGAAACATAGTGGATATATTAGTAGAGTAAATAAACATCCGATCAGAAATGTGACCCATGGCTCTTTGTTTTCTAGAAGCTTCTATTCAACACTGGTTAGATAAGATGTTTCTTAGTGTTTTTTTGATCAATATGGACTTTCCGAAAGCATATATCTTGGAAATCCTCGACACATTCAACAAAGAAGGATGATAGATATAGTTCAACATAAACCTTTGATGCAGGCATATGAAAATTATGGTCACTTCCCATTTGATGGTTTAATGATAAACAAAATTTTGCAGTATCATCATGTCTTCTGGTCAATCAAGCAAATTATGATATTATTACTATAGACTATTTATATGCTTACAACTAACTTATTATCCCAATTGTATGGGTTATCAAAATAAAGTAAACTTTGGCCAGTCACCAATTTACTTACCAATAGCTCCAGTGACACAAACTACAACTAGAATTAGTACACACCATATAACATCCAAATTAATTTGTTTTTCCAATTTACTTCTCTTAAATCGAACACCAGAATTATTCAAAGCTGCCTTTGTTTCACAACCTTTAATAGAACATGAATATTAGAAAATTTTGTTAAGTAAAGTTCTTTTTTTCTTGATTTAAAAATGTACATTACTACTACTAATGTGGTGTGTGCTACTTATGTAGACATAAGTAGTATATGATGTTAGTCGTGAACAAAAGGTCTGGCAGCAGAGAGACAAGAAGATCGAACAGTAAAGAATGAAGACAGATTGCAATTTGTATGAAAATGCAGGAACAATGAAGTCTGAGTCATTTTCAGACGATTGATGGACATTTACTATATGGTTGTTAGATTTTGTTAAGATGTTCTATAATCTGTTGTCAAATACATTCGATTGTCCCCACCTGTGTTCGTGTTCACTACACTACTACTACTACATATCTTTGATGATTGATAAGATGACTGTTAGTTAATCGGAAATTATTTCAAGTATTTTATCACATCATAGATCAGTAACAATGGATGATGGTTGTACAATATGGTGAAATGACTGAAATCGGAAATGTAAACAACTGAATGTCGACTCAATTGTATGAAACTTAAACGGCATTCACTTCAATACTTGAAAATCAAATAAATCAATCCCTCATCCACTGTTGGGTTTCGGACGAGGATGAAACAGCTATTCAAAGTTTTTTTGATTCTAGTGATTATCAAAATAAACCCAGTATATGATATAAAATAATAAAAGAGAGTTAAGTATTTTTCTTTAATATGGTAATGATAGGATTGAAATTGAATGATTTGTTTTCTCACATACATTGATACAACCCAATTTTGTATACGAAAAAGAGAGAGTGAGAGAGAGAGAGTTAGAGAAAATCAATTGATCGTGAACTTAAATTATATAATCGATTAACAAATATTCTATAGATTAATCAGTAAAGTTCAAAGAAAATCGAAATGAAAGTCAAGTAAAAAATCAATAAATACCTATCTACCTAGTAACATCGAAGCTTTTGACTTTTCTATGAAAAATAATGAATTATATAATTTTACTTTAAGAAAAAGCAGATGATAAGAATCATTAACTATTGGTTTGTGGGTTGTTTTACAGTTTTTCACTGTAATATTTCTAAAGCAAATGATCTATTTATTGAAATCAAAGATTACTGTTAAGTAGTTAGAAGCCAATAGGTAAAATCGATGAGGATTGATTTTGTAACTAATGTCAACTATCATCATGATTTATCGATAATTTTGAAAGAACTGATGTTCTGTATGAGACTCAAATCCACAGCAATTACGATTACAGTTAAATACGTTATTCATGAGCTGTTTATTATATTTATTTATTTATTTGAATACATAAATATTGGTAGAAGGAAGTACCAAATACATATTAGCTATACAATAACAATGAGTTATCATTCGTTTGTGTGAGGACTGGAATACTGTCCGGGAGACCAAATCGAAGCTGGTGATTTTTTTTTAGAGGGCCACTTCACGAGCTTTTGACCTAAAGGTTTAGTTTACGAGGCAGTGGTGCAACGTCAGGGGACGAATTTCATGGTAGCCCATGATTAACAAACGGATCACCCTACCATATATAAATGGCGTATCAGAAACCGCAACAAGACTGATAAAAACCTTCGGCATAGGTGTGGCACACAAACCGACAAAATCACTACAGTCAATCCTATGCAAACCAAAGGATGAAATAACAAAAGAAGATAAGTCGAACATCATCTACAAAATAAATTGTGTCAACTGCGACAAACACTACATCGGACAAAGCGGACGCCCCCTTCACCTGCGCCTACATGAACATCAATTAGCAGTCAAACGGCATGATATCTCCTTACTTATATCAATACACGTGGACAACTGCGGACACACATTCGATTGGAAAAATGTGGAAATCGTGGACAGAGGAAATTCTAAATACACAAGAAAATTTTTAGAAGCCTGGCACTCAGGGCAATCAGCAATCAACAAACATATTGAAATCGATCCGATTTATCAACCAATCAAGAAACTTATGCACAAATATAGGAACAAGAATCAAACCAATAGGAGACAAAACCAAGACAAAAAAGTAAACAATGACAAATTTAAGGTCAATAAGAACCAATCAACATCGAGGTGCACAGAACAAGCTGTGAAACGCATATGGAGAAATTCGAACACTTCACTTCTATCTGAAGTTTATGCTGATGATGTCGTTCAGAAGAACGATGAAAGCTCCACGACCAAACCATCCAGCTCAGAGAACAAAACTCCATCAAAATCATGACCAACAATAGATTCATAGGTCATTTGTTCCTTCACGATCCTGGAGCTATTGGTTTGAAATCAGTCTTTTCCAACTCCCCTAGATGGATCCTTCGTGTTCACCAACCTGGTTAAAGCGTCGGACATTCACTTTTCGTCCTCTCGATTTTTTAAACAACACCTCCGCCGCGAGAAGGTAGTGAGTAGGACTTCCCTAGCAGTGGTTTTATGTACGTGGCCATGTGAGAGCGTTTCAAGAGGCAGAGAAGACACTTCCCCAACTGAGATTCGAACCTGTTTCATATAGCTCCATAGTTTGAGATATTACTATCAAGATACTCAAACAGTAAATAACCTCTTATAGAACTGAGATGTTCATATTAACTAATCACTGAATAGTAACCAATGTTATGTTTATACAATCTTTAAAAGAAATTGCGTATGATGTCCATCCACTTAGACTAGTGGCTATATCGTGAGTTTATTCGATTAGAACTACTGAGCAGACAAACATCCCATTGTTCACTACTGAGTGATTAATCAATTCTAAAGTAATTATTGCTTAAATATGATTTGATATCAATATAAAATTTGTTGCAAAAAACCAAGAAACCTTTAGAAATATATCTAAACTTAGCTTAGTACAGCTTAATTGTAAGGAAACATCTTTGTAATTGCCAGTCAAAAGCAGAAGTATTCCATTGTATAATAAATATTTTATCAACAGATAACGGCGAGACTATAATTTGTGGACGAACTAATCAGATATAAAATAACAGGTTTCAGGTTTCGGCGCGAAATCCACTCATCTATTTGGTTAAATAGAGTTTTAGCATTATAGCTGATATCAGTTCGTAATGAAAACCCTAAATCTAATTCCTAATTCTGATCATCAACTGTAAATCATAATCCTTATCTTTCAAACTGATTTATAACCTTCATTTAGCCCTAATAAGTAGGTATACACTCTCAAAATCACTTTAACGTCGCTCAAAGGTCGCTTATAAATTATAATCTCACTCAAATAATTAAAAGAATATAAGATAAATAGCACTTCTATAGGTTTTTAGATATCATATTTTGTTTGTTTGTTCGTTTGTTTGTTGTTTTCTTTCGTGAATTATTTAGGCCAAGACTTAAAGTAAACAATATTGAATTAACTCATCATGTTTGAAATAAAACTTTATGATAAGTAAATATTACTACTTTAAAAACTACTACTGAAATGTATATAATTTTATTAACACATAAATATGAATATGTAACATACCTGCATAGATAACAATACCTATCACATAATCAGTATTACGTAATACACAACCTCTTAGTAACATATTATTCTTGTGAATAGGAATACGTATTTCTGGAAGTATACTTGAAAAGAAAATAATAGTAGAACAAACTAAAAGATACTAGTTAATGTATATACATTCTATAAAAGTAAATTGCTATTAATCTTAACCTGATTGAAATATAATAAAATTAAGCAAATGAAAATGAGTTTATATATATGTTTATTTATTTGTTTATTTAAACATATAAACATTGGTACAAGGAGGCAACAAATAAATATACTCCACACTTCGTCATTCGATTTGTGTGAGGACTGGGATGCTGTCCGGGTACCCAGACCGAAGTAGGTGGTTTTCATAGCGGGACATACCTGGAGCCTTCAATCTAAAGGTCTGATCTACAAGTCAGTGAAGCAACGTTAGAAGAGGCAGTTCCATGGTAGCCGGTGACTAACAGTAGGTTCATGCGCCATTTGATGATTCAGGATACTGGAGCCCATGTGTATCATTGGTTTCGAATCAGAGTTATCCAAATCCACTAGGTGAACCATCAGTATCCACCAACTCGGTTAAAGCACCGGACATTCCATTTTCGTCCTCTCAATTTCTCAAACAACATCACTGATAGTGGCTGTATATATGTAGCCATGTGAGAACATTTCGAGAGTAAGAGCTGACACCACCACTACTTGACCGTGCCAGAGCATATATATGAAAAATAATCTTAGTTACAGTGTTGAATATATTAATCATTCTCTTGGTCACTATGCTTCCCTTTGAAGTTTCAAAATCAAATTTATTCATCAAAGTATGTAAAATAGCCACTGAGATCATGAAATGATTTAAGTAAAACCACTAGTGAAAACATAGGGGCACTAGATGCCGGTTTCGACCTACTATGGGAATCCTCAGCAGTGCGCATCCACGACTTCAGGCACGGGAATCAAACCCCGGATCTTCGGTTTCGTGCACGAACGCCTAACCTCTAGACCAATGAGTCGTTGATGCTCATTGCTGAAGAGTTCCATACTATGATGAAACGGCAGTCCAGTGTTTCCAGGTTTTAAATGGTGGTCTAACTTAGATCGGTTAATGATCGCAATAGCTTATAAGCAGTAATCGTAAAAATTAGGGTTTGAAGATCTTATTCAAGAAGTATAATCCAGTGTAATAAATTTAGAAAGAAAATAAAGGACATGAAGAATTCAGAAAATTAGAATTTGGAAGAACTCAAAGAGTGGATGCACCTGTGCCATTGCAAACTATTTTGAGCCATGTCATTCAAGGTCTCTAACCATCGGTTGCTATCGTCTCGCGAATCCCAACCAGGTATTCTACACCTACCAACATGGCTCAGTCCACTTGTCAGCGATTTCATGCATTTGTGCCATGTTTTGTTCTGGCATCCCCTAGATTTCTTCCAACCAAATTCGATAAATTGAGTAAAGTGTTCATTCATCGTTTCAAGGACAAAAGTAGGAAAAAAACATAATCATATTCATAAGAACACTGAACACATATCATGCTATGTTTAAAGATATTACGAGTTCACCTAATCTGAGAACGGAATGAAAACTCTGTGACACAATAACAGATAAGCTAGCTATTCCGACGCATCCCAGCCCCGCTAACTAGAGTGACAAATCCACGTTTAAACAGGCAAATATATTACACAAGCAGCCAGAAGCACGAACAACCAACAACAAGCACAAATCAAGCGAATATGCACAGCATAAGAATGTCCTTGGGAAGTGTTACAAAATAACATACTAAAAGATACACGGAACCAATAGCGTTTAAGATCATTTCAAGTGGTAAATACGACATGAAGGTGGAAATGAGCGTTTTTGGCACGAAAACAAGATATTCAAATTTTTAAAATAGCATTACAAATATAAGGCCTTTATCAAGTGAGTTCTGGGAATCTAACGTTCCCAACACATCAATAAGGAACGTTATTTCTTAGTTAAAACTACAGATCAGTATAGGGTTGTGGAAATTATTAAGTTTTTGATTGAGATCATGAATCAGTTGATGTCAGACCACTATTGAAAACCTGGAAGCACTGGACGGCCGTGGGATCGTGGATGCACACTACTAAAGAGTCCTACAATAGGATGAAACAGCCGTCTAGTGCTTCCAGGTTTTTAATGGTGGTCTAACATCAATTGTTTCATGATCTCGATCAAAAACTACAGATGTATTATGATACTTAATGAGTGAAACATTTTCATACTCCTGATCATATGCTAAATTTCTCGTTAAAAATAAATGACTTTAAAGTCAGTGAACTGGAAATTACTCTTCTATTTGTTTTCTGTCTTCAAAATACGACTTCAACTTACGTTTGTCCTCATCGGTTTTAAAATCTTATCCTTGACAGTTTGAAATGTTATATAGTTAAGTTATCAGTCAATCATCAATCACACATTTTATATCTAAATCACATTAATTTGAATTATGACAAGCTTTAAAATAGATAGTGAAAATACAGTAGTATTTATATAGATATACTGTTGACTTCTACCTGAATTTTGTGTTGATGACGTCGTTCAGAAGAATAATGAAAGCATAGATGGTGGTTGGAAGTAGTCGACAGGAAACCCTGGACCCGGGTTTCGTTCTACTTGGCACTCGTCAGCAAGGTGTACCTGTAATGTTGAGGGAACTGGTGCTCTCTGACGGATTTGATCCCGTGTCACCCAGCTTCACATCAGAGACGTCACCACTAAGCTATCCGGGCCGCGACCGACCTCCTGTAGGACTGAGATGTAATCACAATTGGTTGATCACTGAGTGGTGATCAATGTCATGCTTGTCTAGTCCTTATTAGTGTAGATCGAATGCTATCGACCATGTTGCAATCTGGCCACCAGTCTAAGTGACTCGATACTGCGGGCACTATTGTGACATTAGATGGTGGTTAGAGGTAGTCGACAAGAAACCCTGAACCCGGGTTTCGTGCTACTTGGCACTCGTCAGCAAGATGTGTCTGTAATCTTGAGGGAACTGGTGCTCCCTGACGGACTAGACAAGCATGACATTGATCACCACCCAGTGATCAATCAATTGTGAACAATGAAAGCTTCATGACCAAACCATCCAGTTCAGAGAACAAAACTTCATCAAAATCATTCATTTAAGCTAAAAACCTTCTCCACCATCTCAATACCTAAATACATTAATTACCCTATTTTTTTCGTCAACCTACACTAATGTCATTAGATTGATCTCAAATAATAAGTGAATAATTCACCTTCTAATAAAGTAAACTCATTAAAGAATATCAAATTGATGAAACGGATAAAATCTTTGGTTAGAAACTGAACTATTTAATTATTATTATAATAAATATCAAGTTAGATTAATATGATAATAACTTACATTTTCCCATGGAATTTATATAATTCAGCACTTGGAGCTTCTACTTCAATTGGATAAAGAAATGTCAATGGTGAAAATTCATCCTTGATAATAAATAAAAAAGTAAAGATATATGACTGATAACAATTTACTGTTTACATAAAACTATCATGATAAATCATTAGTGAGAGATGTTAATTCTAAAAATATTTCTTGATATACTTGGTGAAATACTTAGGGGGTATTTCGACGTTGAAATAGTTAAGATTCGTCAGTTTAAATCTACTATGATTTCATCATAGTACACTAGGTTACTTATGTGTTATTGTAATAATGAGCATTATTTGATGATAGATTGTATAATCCAAAACACGCATTGTAATATAGATGGATTCAAATGATAACTCATAAATATCAGTATAGGATTGTAGAGATTATTGTGTTTAGATTGCTATCATGAATGGATAGATGTTAGACCACTACTAGACCAGATCATGAATCCGCATTGTTGAAGAGTCCAATACTAACACAAGACGACTATCTAGTGCTTCTAGATTTTCAATGTTAGTCTAACATCTACCAATTCATGATATCAATTTGAATTCATAAATAGAGAGAGAAAAGCTTATGAGATTTAAAATCTAGAAACTAAAGAAATCTTTGACAGTACACGATACCCTATTCTTAAAACACATTTTAAAAGAGTACTTTCTTCTGAAAACACAAATTGACTGTTGAAAATCATTGATAATAGTTTTAGTAAGAGAATTCTAAAGAGATAAAACGACTCCCAGTTTTGAATTGAGAATAACGTCCAACGAATATAAACACATAAGACTTAGTGTATAAAAGAAAGTGATGATGATCAGGGTTAAAAATGTTTCGTAACTTCACAGGATCCTTTTACCCTTCTCCACACAAGATGACTTTATCAAATATTAATATTTATAAGTCGATTGTTTTGGTTACACAAAAAAAAATCAATTAAACAATATTAATGATAATATATTTCTTAGTTTTTCATACCAAATAATGTCATTTAATCAACTAAAATGTAGGACCAGGCACATATATGCATCGGCATAAGTCGCTATTTCTCATTAGCACAACAACATGAACACCGAATTCATAGAAGGAGTTAAATCAGTTGTATGAATATATAAAAGAAAGATTGTGTACAAGGATATGATACAGGGAGAAAGAATTAGTTCGTAGAAAGAAAGGTATACAGTAATTATAATCTCACGGTTTAAGGAAATACAAAGAGTATATACGCCTACGCCATTGTGATCGATTCTGAGACATGTCACCAAGAGTCTCCAACCATTGGTTACGATAGTCGCGTGGACCCCAACCAAGTAGTCTGCATCTATCAAAATGGCTCAGAACAAAAGTTAGTGACTTTACGTAATGGTGTCACATTTTGGTTTGGCTGCCCCTAACTTTCTTCTTTTGGTCTCCAACACTAGTCAGCATTGCGCGTCGTGATAGTCGGTGTTTAGGCATATGCAACACGTGGCTCAACCATCACAGTCTATGAAGATTCACAACCTCATCAACTGATTTACCATCATTCCTTAATACCCTGCATCTAACCTCACTATTACTTACCCAGTAATCCCAGCAGATACGAGCAATATTTTTAAGGCATCTGTGGCCAAATAATAGTAGCTTACGAGTATCTTCTACTCTTAATGACCATGTTTCGCAGTCGTAAGTTAGAACTCAACGAACTGCCGCGCAGTATACTCGCCCCTTAATTGATAGACGGATATCTCGCCTTCGCCATTGGTGACGTATATTGAAAAAGCCAAACAAGCTTTTCGAATCCGTGCAGAGATTTCGTCAGACACCAACTCATTAAAGCTGATCAAACTTCCAAGATAACTGAGTTTGTCGACGCGTTCGACTACTTCACTCCCTATCCTTAGTTCAGGTGTTGATGCAGGTCATTCCTAAAGTAACAATTTGCATTTAGAGGTGAAGATATTTTACACTAACTTACAGTGATCTTACTAACCCCACGTGAAATTGAGACGTTAAAAACTTCACAGAGATTTTACTGCTTATGATAACATTTGACGTAACTATTAAATTCCTTCATACAGCCTTACAAAACAAAAACAAACTTAAATTCACTTGATGTTATTTTACATGTATATTCCCATTGTTATTTAGAACTGCAATTGATCAGTCTCATGTTGGCATATGCTAATCCTAAGCGGATTGCCTAAACATAGGTTTAAGTCACAAGCTTTTTAAACAAAGATGGATAGAGGTTAGCAGTAGAATCCAGGATGTGCAACACTACGTCCTATTTAGGACTCGTCAATTGAATGTAACTACATCTCAGAGTTGATGTTCACTTCGAAACTCGAACCCAGTATCGTTCGCTTCAAACGTCATCGTTTTATCCACTTAACTACTGAGTCCTGATAGCCACCTGGTTGTATAATCGGGTGAAGTTTAATTCATCTGATATTGTTTTACTTGAATCTTCCCATTCCACTGCTAGCCACTATCCATCTTTGCTTATAATGCTTGTAAATTAAGGCAATATCGAGGCAATACGCACAGTATGCACATATGCCAATAAGAGACTGATCAAGTGCAGTGCTGAACATCAATGGGAAGATTCAAGTAAAACAATATCAAGTGAATTAAACTTCACCCGATTGCACAAGCAAGTGGCTATCAGGACTCAGTAGCTAAGTGGATAAGGTGATGGCGTTTGAAGCGGACGTTACTGAGTTCGAGTCCGAGAGTGAACATCAACTCTCAGATGCAGGTTCATCCAGCTGACGAGTCCCAAATAGGACGAAACGCACGTCCTGATAGCCACCTAGTTGTATAATCAGTTGAAGTTTTGAATTCACTTGATGTTGTTTTACTTATATCTTCTCATAGTTATTTAAAACTGTAATTGATCAGTCTCATACATTAAATAACAGAATTAACAATTAACAAAATATAAATTTATATCGAAATGTTTTATGTTTAACTTACTTTATTCAATAAATTTGGAATAATTTCACGTTGTTTTAAATTAGATTCTCCATCTAAATTTGATGTTTCAATATGACAAATTCCGGTACTATTTGATGTAGCTAATAATAAAATATCAGCTGGTATTATATCATTAGTATATAAACGAATAAAATCCCCTGGACGAAGATATTGCCATTGATTAATTATGTATTGTTTTTCTTGTCTATAGAATAAATGATTCGTAAAAGTAAATTTTTTTTTTAAAATAAAAAAAACATACTTGAGGAATACTAGAAATCTTCAAATTATTTCAAACAAAAACACAATGATTTCATCTTGAGTGTTGTTCTTAGTACAGTTGAATAAGGCAGTGAAATCCGATCTAGGGTTTCTATATGGAGAAGCTAGGTAATGGGGGCCATCTCATTAGCTAATTTGGGCGATTGGTGGAGATCAAACTAATCTACTACTCTACTGTAACCTAGATTTGAGAAGACCTTACTTCGAGGCATCGTAAAGAGGATGCCCTTTGTGTATTCATATATATATATATATGAATTGCATGAGTCACGATATGTGTAGTTCTGTATGTAGATATATTCAAAGAGTATGCACTGGACTCAAACGAAAATAGATAGTAAGATATTCTTCCCTTCTGTTAAAAAAAAAAAAACGGCCCAACTAAACAGAAGAAACAGATCAGTAAACAAAGCAAGAAAAATAGGCAGCAAATAAAAGTGAAGGGAAAGGTGACTATCTACCTTGCCAAGGGGTGAGTATACCTAGTGTGTGCCATAAATGTGCATAAATGAGAATCTATGTGTCACTGATATGCATGTAAAGTATACTTGTCCCTGGTGCAATTCCCGCATGCCATAACCCAAGGATTGTTACAATTTTACCCTAGAAACACGTATTCTTCACCAAAAATGTCAAATGGCTTTGTAGTAAGCAAATTCAACTATTGTATTATTTGTCTGATCACTGTAATTTAGACATTTAATCCACTATGTAAAATTATATGTGAGTCTGATTGAACCCGTGTCTGTATATACATCTTTATCTAATGAAATAAAGATGATTGATTTGGTATATCACGCAGGTTTTGTGATCGACATAGATTTGTGGATCAATTAAAGAATGATATCCAGTTTGAAAATCTATTTATCCGAAGATAAGATTTGATACCCTAAACAAAGGTTAAAAATGAAGAATTCAGGATCAGACTAGTTGATTGTTTTAACCTATTTGAAAGCAAACAGTATCACATAAAGAGTATACTGGCTGATAAACAGCAAGAAGTCATCCGTAAACTGATATCGGACGAGCACATAATTATCACTAAATCAGATAAGGGATCAGGTACTGTCATTCTAAACAAGACATATTACATAGATAAGAAAAATAATTTGCTGAGTTATGTAAGAACCTCAACGAGAAGATTAAACGTCAATTAACTAAGGTATTATAACTTCTAAAACAGTAGCAATACATCTCTGAGTATACCTATAATGGCCTCAAGTTTTTTAGAACACATACTCCTCAGTTCTATGGCTTATCTAAGGTTCGTAAACCAGAGATTCGTTTATATCATTCACCTCAAACTCACCATACCATTCAACAGCAAAATAGTTAGTGAAATTACTAGAATCACTACACCAAGACTTGATTAACTATTGAGTTAAAGACGTATTAGGATTTGTAAACGCAGTAAAGAAATATGAATATAAATGATTAAACTATGTTATCAGCAGACATAATATCTTTATTCACAAATATTTCACTGACAGAAACCATTGACAAAATATGTGAACTTACAGAAAGCAACGATATCGATTGTAAAAGAATAAAATGAAGAAGTTTATGCTGAAATATATAATCAAGATCTACTTTATGTTCAACAACAAACTTTAGAGATAAATAGATAGAGTAACAATGGAACTTTTCGAGAATCCGATACTTCCTAATATTTTTCTAGCCCAACTAGAAAATGGAAAGATATCCAGAATAAATAAGGTTATTACTGTCGATACATAGATAATACACTAATTAGGTGTAACTAAAGTAGCAACAAACATGAGTTGTTGAACAATTACAAAACAGTTCATCCAGTTATTTAATTAATTTTGCATGTAGCTCTTCTAGAGTTACGGCCGGTCCCAAGCTCGGGTAAAGGACGAAGGATAAGTATGGGGTCGAGAAACTCAACCAGTAGAAAAACATCTTGCTAAAAAACGCCAACCAGTTCAAACAAATAAAGCCATCTAAACTCTGCAATCCGAGTTAAAGCAGGAATTATGACGCTTCATGACGAAGACCGAGATTCCTTGGAAGTCACATGGATGATGCCCATCTAACAACCAGAGCAACAATTATCATAGGTACATAGGATGTCGAAACAATATGAGAGACTGGAAGGACAAGTCAAATAGCAACGGAAGTGAGGAGATGCAAATTAGTGATGCTCGGAATCAGCGAAATCCATGGACTCAAGGTGGACAGAAAAGGTTAGGTACGGGAAAACTGCTGCTGCACTCCGGTTACGAAAGGAAAAATGCTCCACACACTCAGGGAGTTGCATGAAATGTACTTATTGGGTAGGACAAGATTCAAAAAAGCAAGAACAAAAAGATAGCAATTAACAAGAGCCGAACAACAACAGAGAAAGTCAAGGCACAAACCGAATACATAGAAGCAAAGAAGCACGTGATGAGAAGCATTAGAGCTGACAAGCAAAAATATATGGAAGAGATAGCAGTGACAGAGTAAAGAACTGCAAGAGAAGGAAATATGAAACAACTATATGACACGATGAAGAAACTGGCACGGAAAAATAGTAAATCAGAGAGATCGGTCAATGACAAAGAAAACAAGCCAAACACTGAGATTCGGGAACAGGGGAGTAGATGGTTGGAACACTTCGAGGAACCCTTGAATATATAAGATACATTGAATCCACTGGATATCTAAGCAGAACACATAGACCTTCCTATGGATATCATGATAGAGACGTCAGTTCGCCAACGACTGAAGAAATTGGGATGGTCATCAGACAAATCAAGAGCGGGAAAGCAACAGAACCTGGCAATATAGCAGCCTAAGCACTGAAGACAGACATCGAAGTAACTACAAACATGCTTCACCTTCTATTTAAGAAGATTTGGGAGGACGAACAAGTGCCGATGGACTGGAAAGATGGACACTTCATCGAGATTTCAAAGAAAGGAGATCTGAGCAAATGGCAAAACTACAGAGGCATTACACTTCTGTCAGTACCAGAAAAAGTCTTTAACAGAGTGTTGCTGAACCGGATGAAAGACGCAGTAGATGCCTAACTCCGAGATCAACAGGCTGGATTCCGTATGGATAGGTTGTGCACAGACAAAATTGCGACACTACAGATCATCGTCGAACAATCAATTGAGTGGAACTCGACACTGTACATCAACTTCAATGATTATGAGAAGGCATTTGAAAAGGTAGATAGGAGAACGTTATAGAAACTTCTTCGACAACATGGAGTACCTGAAAAAATCGTCAACATCATCCGCAATTCATACAACGAACCACACTACAAAGTGGTGCATAAAGCATAGCTGACAGATGTACAACAAGTGAGCACGGAAGTGTGACAAGGCTACATACTCTCCATTTTTTTCTTTCTTCTGGTGGTTGAATGGATTATGAAGACATTCATATGTGAGGGGAAGCACGCAATACAATGGACATGTTGGATGCAACTGAACGAATGGACTTCACAGAGACCAGGCTCTTCTATCTCATACACATGAACAAATGCAGATGAACACAACTAGTGTAGCGGCAGTAGGCTTCAACATTAAACTGTTCAATTTCGTTTACCTATATATCTACGTACTAGGTAAAAATCTACACTATGACTTGGTGTTATTGCAACTTAAAGCTTGACACCAAATGCCCTGGTGCAGCCAGGGAGTGAGGAGAGTCCGCTCTCCCTCTTTAAGCGCTCTCGAATGGCCACATGTATACAGCCACTATCAGGGAAGTAATACTCACTACATTCTCGTGGTGGGGGTGTTGTTTACAAAACTAAGATGAGGAGAAGCAAATTTTTGATGCTTTAACTGGATTAGTAGATATGGAGAGTCCATATAGAGGAGTCGTAAAACTCTGACTCCAAACCAATAGTGCACATGGACCCCAGTATCCTGAAGGAACAAATAAAGTATGAAGCAATCGATGGTCGCCGGATATCATGGGACTACATCCTCTAATGTTGCTCGACTGACCTGTAGATCAGATCTTTAGAAGGAAGGCTCTAGGTGTGGTCCCTAAGAAATCCACCTGCTTCGGTCTGAGCACCCGGATAGTATCTCAGCTCTTACATAAATTGAATGAATTATGTGGCGCATATATATTCGGTGCCTCCTTGTACTCATGTTTATGTGTTTAAATAAATAAGGATTTGTATCAGAAGGGATTTTTGCAGATATTATAGTAATTTCAATAATTGAGATCATAAGTCAATTAAAGCTAGACCATCATGAAAAACCTATAAGCATTAAATGACCGTTTCATTCTATTATGAGACTCCTCAATAATGTGCATCCACAATCCCACTTTGGGAGATTCAAACCTAGGACCTATACAGTATCGTGCGCGAACGCCTAACCACTAAACCACATAATTGCATGAAACAACCATCCAATACTTCCAGATATTATCAGTTTTGGGGTTGTGGAGATTGTCAAGTTTTTGATTGAGATCATGAGCCGATTGATGTTAGACCACTGTTCGAAACCTGGAAGCACTGGACGACCGTTTTGTCCTATAGTGGGACTCTTCAGAAGTGAGCATCCACGATCCCGCTGGCATGATTCGAACCCAGGGTCTTCAGTCTCGCGCGCGAACGCTTAACCTACTGGACCATTGAGCCGGTAGAAATAGTTGTCTACCTCAGTACAATGGAAAATGGTCGCGCAATTTCGTGGATTGGTTAAGGTTAAACATTAACACCATTGGATGCGGGCCAACTCATTGATCCAGTAGGTTAAGCGTTCACGAGCGAGACTGAACTCCCTGGGTTAGAATCCCGTAAGCGGGATCGTGGATGCGCACTGTTGAGGAGTCCCACAATACGACGAAACGGCTGTCCAGTACTTCCAGGTTTCCAACGGTGATATAACATCAATCAGTTCATGATCTTAACTTCCAGATATTCCATGGTATTCTAGCTTTAAGTTT